GCGCTCCGGGGTGCAGGGAGACAGAGAGCGCGCGCTCCGGGGTGCAGGGAGACAGAGCGAGCGCGCTCCGGGGTGTATAGAGAGTGCGAGAGTGAGTACTCCGGGGTCGGGACAGAAGTGCTCCGAGATAAAGAGAGAACGAGTGCACCGGGCAGAGACAGAAAGTGCTCCAGGGAGACAGAGAGCGAGCGAGCAAGCGCGCGCTCCCAGGTGTGTGTGTATATATATATATATATATATAGAGAGAGAGAGAGAGAGAAAGAGACAGAGAAATAGATAGATAGATAGAGAGAGCGAGCGCGCGAGTGCTCCCCGGTGTATACGCAGAGAGATACACAGACAGAGAGCACGTGGGTGCTCCCGGGTGTGTATTATATATATACACACACACATACAGAGAGAGACAGAGATACAAAAACAAAGTTGCTGGAAAAGCCCGGCAGGTCTGACAGCATCTGTGAAGGAGCGAACAAAGTTAACGTTTTGGGCCCAGTGACCCTTCCTCAGAACTGATGGTGGGTGGGAAAACCGTCAGTAAACGATAGGATAGAGCCCAAAGAGAGAGAAAGACAGTTGGACAGACAAAAAAAAGTTGCTAACGATCAGGCTTGATCCCATCGTTTTCCTATCCTATCGTTTACTCCCTACCCCACCCACCTCCCTATTTTCTGCATATAACCTGACATTTTCTCAGCCACCGTCAGTTCTGAGGAAGGGTCACCGGCCTTGAAACGTTAACTCTGTTTTTTCCTTCACAGATACTGCCAGACCTGCTGAGCTTTTCCAGCAACTTTGTTTTTGTTCCTGATTTGCAGCATCCGCAGTTCTTTCAGTTTTTTATTCAGAAGGACGGATGTTTTATTCATTGTATGTTGCCTTGGAAAGACCATATTTGGAATAGCATGTGTAGTTTTGGTCTCCCTACCCAAGAAGGGATATACTTGCCCTTGAAAGAATGGTTTACTACGTAGATAACGGGGATAGCAGAACTGTCACAGGAGGACAGATTGATTCGACTGGGCCTGTATTCACTAGAATTTAGGTGAAAGGGGATCTGACCGAAATCGCATAAATTTGTAACAGGGCTGGACAGACTGCATGCAGGGAGCATGTTTACCATGGCATGGTTGGGGAGTCTGGAACCCAGGGAACACAATCTCATTTAGGACTGAGATGAGGAAAATGGGTAGCGAACCTGTGAATTCTCTACTACAAAGGCTGTGGAAGCCAAATCATTAGAAATGTATCTGTATCAAATATTTCAGATTTTTTAAAGCCAAAAGGTATTGGGAGAAAGCAGGAATATTGCATTGAGACAGATCTTTCTTGGTTATATCAAATGGCAGACAGGTTCGAACAGCTCAATGACCTACTCACATTCCTAGTTTTTGTTTCTCAGGGTAACAGGGACAGGTCAATAAAGGTATAGAAGGCAGCATAGAGAATTGGTGTCTTTATTAGCTGAGCAAGGAGGTTAAGCTGGAACAGAATAAATCATTAGTTAAGCCACAACATGGCTACTTGTGCAGTTCTGGTCACCTCCTTACAGAAAGGACAGAGTTGTACTAGAGAGGGAGGACACAGAGGAGATTTATAAGGATGTTAACAGGACTGGAAAAATGCAGCCATGTGGAGAGATGCGTTAGGGTTACAGTTTAGAAAATAAAAAAAAAAGTGAGAACGGAGAAAACACTGGAGAAGCCAAAGGAAGAAAATGCAACTCTGGAGATACAACAGTATCCCACAGGAGGGGCAGAAAGAAATCATTCCAAGTGGATAAAGAACATGAAAGAGAAAATGTGATTACAGGGTGGACCAGCGAGAAAAGGACATGTGAATGCATGGTGGGTAACAGTGAGGGTATACAGGGACAGTAGGGAAGGAAAACAGCAAAGAGAGTACGTGCCCAGAGGAAGCAAGAGCGTAGAGCAGACAACAACTAGGAGAGAGAGAGGGGCTAGTGAGTACACAAAGAAAGCCACACTTACACACACACACACGCAGAGAGAGGACTGTGCAGTGAAAATGCAAGAGACAACTGAAATATAAATGAGACACTGTACAGTCGTGGAAAAAGCAGATACGTAAAATATAAAGCTGATATAGCAATGAGAAAATGGGCGCTATGTAAACATAGAAACCATGAGGTTGCAGAGAGTGATCCAGTCATGAAAAATGCACATGCACATTACTTTCCTTTTACACTCTTGCACAAGGTCAGTGTTTTAGCATAGAGTTTAATGGAACTAGCAACCCCTTTGTACAGATCAGTGTACAAGTATTATTTAATATTGTCTTTTAAAGTACTCGAGCTATATATTAACAGAATTCTGTACTTTATTGCTTCTTCTGTAGTGAAGCCTATTTCTCTCTCTCACTCTTCACTTCATTGTGCCTTGTCCTCTCTGTCTTTCCAAAAAGTCACTGCCTACCATTGGAGCCTGCCTCTAACCTTAAATGGTTAGCAAAAGAACAACAGGGGTGAAGTTCTTTTTCAAAAGGAAGACTCCAGGCAGATTTCAAACAATTTTTTTTGTTTACTTTTAAAAATACACATTCATCCCTGCAAATATCCAGCTCCTAGCACCAAGTGAAATCTCTGCAAGTCGTAAAGTTACAAACACACAAGCCACTTACCAGAGAGCACTCACTGAAACTTATTTCCCCAGAGAGAGGGAGAGGGGGGGAGGGAGGGGGAGGGGGAGAGAGAGAGAGAGAGAAAGAAAAAGCGAGAGAGGGGAGAACATTCAAGCGCCGACCTCAGTCCTTAGGATTGTGTCAATGCAAGGCTGGTTTCCATAACAGTTTAATTGTTTCAGAAAAAAACTTGGGGAACTGTGCTTTGTAAAAAAAATTCTCAGTTTATAGTACAGAATTGAATCACTTGTCAAACTGGAGATTTCATCAAAGGTTTCACTACCAGACACTAAATATTTAATACATCATATTTCCTGCACCCCCTGCCGTATAGTATGCTTTAATTTAATTAATAATTAAAAAAATTCCACCATCAAAAACATTCTTTTAAATATCAGATTGGCTCACGTATCAAAATACTCAAGCCTAACCAGGATGTTTGGACAGAATTTTCAGTTGCAGCCAGAGAAGGGAAGACTCAGGAATTGGGTGGTCATAGGTCAGCCACCTGTTCTAAACCCTCCCTCAACACCCAACAACTTCCACGGCCAAGCAGCAAAATGAGCGCCCGATCCATTCTGGCCCCAATCACCAGAGCTGACAGTTTGGTCTAAAGTCATGATGGTAATTATCGGCTGGGGAAGAGAGGTCCGGGAGGTGGCGGGGAGGGGGTGCGGGTGGTGGCGGTGAGATTTGTAAGTGACTTGCTAACTCTAGTTTTGCCGATGGTGTTTGTAACCTCGCTCAGGATTGGAAGCAAAACCAAAAGAAATATAGCTGCACATTCTCACAAAAATTGCTCCTTCCAGTTTCCACTGCACCTTGTAAAAAATATTAAGTTAATGAAGACCCTAATCTCTCAACAGAACAAAAGGGTTAGGAATTATATGAGTGCTGCACCCTGAGACACAATTCAGCACACGACATCAAGATTACGTTAGTGACCAAAGCCAATTTGACTGCAGGGGGCATCACAGCAGACCAAAACCCCTATTCTCAATCCCACCCTCTGGTAGGAGGTGGGAGAAAAGTGGGGGTGTGTGTGGGAGTGGGGTGTGTATGTGTGTGCAAACGAAGGGGGTAAAGACAGGATAGTTACTGAGAGCCAAGAAGGCTGTCCAAAGCCTTCAGCATTTCCCAATCACTATCAAATATAAGAGCCTTTAACACTAAAAGGCTTCCCCAAGCATCCCAGAGCGGCCGAGATCAGCTAACTCAACATATCTGATGGGGTGAGGGAGCTGAACTGAGAACCTTCCTCCTGGCCTTGTTTGGCCTGGTTACTCCCTGCATTTTTCTGGGAGGGAGATTGGGGTGGGGGGACAGAAAGGTTGATCAGAATTAAAATTCATTTTGTATAACCTTTGCTCAGTCAGTGAATAAACACCATCGCCCACTATCCAAACAAAACAAAAGGAACCTTTAAGTCAGTACTAGTCACAGATCATTTTGCACAAGTTTTAAAAAAAACAAAAAAAAGTCTTAAAACTTTTCCCCCAAAAACACTCATCATCACAATTTCTCTTTTCGCTGACATTAAATTGAAAGCAAAAAAGTTTTTTAAACATTTTCTTTACATAAAAAAGTCCGTAAAAATTTAATACAGTAAAATGTTTCTTTTAAAGTACGACAGTTTTCCGTTGACTGTCGGTGATATACAGTCAGAATGAGTTGATATCTAACCAATACTCTAGTATTTACACAGTAAAAGAGGGAGAACGATGAAACCCTCCTTGACCCTGCAACCTCCCTCCCTCTAAAAACAAAATTATCAGAGTGAACAGGGACTAGTCGTTAACTAGAAAGTGGTTTCTTTGCCTTCTCAATATATTCACATATGCGTTAAAACAGTATAATACAGATAGCTATGAGGAGACTGAGAAGCTAGTTATAGATTCACAATGGGTTTCTGCTCAAGGACAGGGCAGGTCTGGGGAGAAGGAACAGAGAGGGGTTTATTATTCAATCCACATCTGGTTCTTCTTTAGGCTTGTAAATGGCGCCAAATTTCTGCATGTACTTCTTGATGTATTCCTTGGTTTTATGCTTCACGTTTTCATTGCACTCGAGGTCCTCAGGATTTTTGCATTGTTTCAGCTCCTTGTTCATGACTCCATGTGTCAACTGCGTTAAAGAGAGCGATGAGTAAGAGCAAGGGGAGAAGTGGGAGGGAGGGGAGAGGGAATAGGAGAAAACAGTAAGAGCCAGGATGACAAAGATAGGATGGGAGAAGGACATGCAAGGCAAGGGGAAAGAGAACAAAAGGGTAAATGAGGGATTGGCAGGGAGGGATGGTGACCACAGGGGGCACAGAGGAGGGGGAAAGAGTGGAAGAAGGAGGAGGAGGAGACGAAGACAAAATGTGTGGGAGTGAGCAAGTGAGAGAAGGGGAGAGCATGGGCAGTAGTGGGATGGAGGCAGGAGAAGAGAAAGCAGGAAAGAGGGAGGGGCAGAGAGCAGCAGGACAGGGAGACAAAACAAAGTAATTACTATGTATCTGCTTTATATCTTCTACGCAGTTCTGACAATAGATGGTCACTCTCACTGGGGCTTTAAATTTATCTTCAGATTCATTGTGTTAACTGCTTCATGCAAAAGTGATAATTTATTAATATGAGAGTCTAAAAAGCGAGACACAGAAAAATGGTCATGATGTGGGTCATTGCTGTAGAGCTTGACCTTACGCTCACAACTACTTTCATAAAGGGCAGAGTACATCTCCACAAGCCCAAAGGTGGATGGGGTGGAGCTGGAGCAGGCCTCGTCTCTGGGGAGGAGGTCAGCCGTCACTGCTCGGACTGCTGTTTGTGTCTGTGTACCCTGGACATACCATGGAGTGTCAGAGGGGCATAGGGCTATCAATGGTCCCTGTCAAGACATTTCATTTTCCCAATGCAGCCCCAGAAAAGATATCCCACAACTTAGCCAAACGATGTTTTCAATACCCCTACCTTCCGAGCTAAATGCTTGAAGTCCTCTGTTGCTACGATTCGTCCTAATTTACAGTCAGGTTTCCGGTAGGGATTCAGGCACAGAACAATGAATTGGGAAATCTGGAAAAAGGAGAGAAATCAAAACTTTGGACAGAGGTAGACTGTCGTCCCTTGCCCATTGACAAATTCCACTGTTTGTACTTCTCTTCCCACCCCAACCTTGACTGTCACTAGGTTAATAGTACTTTAAGTACTGTTCATTCTACAGTAAAGTTACACTTGTGTAGCATCTTAGCACTTTTCACTGCATTTTGAATGTTATACCTCTCAAGAGTAACTTTGCTTTAACAATGTTGCATAAAGGGGTAAATATTGGTCAGGATACGAGTGAGAACACGCTTGCTCTCCCTCAAATCACAGCCTGCAATTTTGAAAAAATATCTAATCTAGAGAGCAAATGTTAGGTCTGATCTGAAAAGCAAGCAATCTCTGTAACTATGCAGCGAGGCGTCATTCTTGTTTATTAACCTTACGGATTCAAGTATTTGGATTGGGTCTCTTGAAGGGGAGAACACTGCAACAAGGTTGCTGGGACGTTGAATTATTTAATGAAATGGAGGAATCCAGAATCTGAAATCAAATTCAGGAATAACAACATCCTGAAGGATAAAACAACATCCCTGATGTCAGGTCCTCGTCCTCAGTCTGCAACTGTGCAAGCCTGTGTTACCTTGCTCGTCTGCTTGGGGTGACCTCAGTAAAGATTAAAGATTAAAGCCTGGCATTTTTTAAAAAAGGCTACTTACAGGCTATGGCTCACTTGTTGTGTTTATTGTTTTGGATTGTGATTTAAAAGTCACATTCACCCTCACATTAAGTTGAGAAGATGGGGTCCCTTCTAAACAAAGGCCACTTTATGATGTGCTGGCACATAGCACCTTTTCCCTGTACTTTTTAATGGTCTCGCGCTGCCTTCAGAAGAGATTTACCAGGATGTTGCTGGGAATGGAGGACTTAAGTTATAAGGAGAGGCTGAATAGACTGCGACTTTTCCCACTGGAACACAGGAGGTAAAGATTTCATAGATCTTATAGAGATTTAAAATCATGAGAGGTAGAAGGTGAATGGCAGGTGTCTTTTCCCCAGGGTGGGGAATTTCAAGACTAGAGGGCACATTTTTAAGGTGAGAGGAGAAAGATGTAAAAAGGACATAAGGAGCAACTTTTTTGTTTACACAAAGTGGTTCATGTAAGAAATGAACTTCCGGAGGAAATGGTAGATGCAGTTACAGTTACAACATTTAAAAGACATTTGGATAAGACCATGAACAAGAAAGGTTTGGAGGGATATAGGCCAAGCACAGGCAGGTGGGACTGGTTTAGTTTGGGATTATGGTCGGCATGGACTGGTTGGACCGAGGGATTTGTTTCCATGCTGTATGACTCTATGACTCTCGCCTTTCCTCCCAAAACTGAAGGCTTTGGCTCTTGGTGGAGAGCCAATTGTATCTTGGTGCCCACAAACATCCAGGGGTATGTGGCTACATGTCATGTTCCAATAGTGCTGTTTTCAGTTGGTTCCAAGGTAATTATTCCCACCACAGCTTCATGGACTAACATTATCCGGCACAGGCCAGTGAGTACCAGCAGTGAATTGATCTTGGGCTTAAGCATTGCAGCCATGCCCACACTCCTGCCCACATTTAGCCAGCTGATGACACTCCAGCCCCTGGCAAAGAAACAAGAGAATTGTTTGGTGGGGAGATAAGTTGCAATCAGGCTGGGACTTACTACGTGTTCAATCTTCGCCAATGAGCTTAAATATTCATTCCCTCCAGCAGTAGCACAATGTTATTGCAACGTATATTACTGACAGAAGAACTGCAGAAAGTCAAAGATCTTCGACAACATTGCCTCCACCTCAAAACAGGGGGACAGAGGAATGCGAGTGCATAGGAATACCACCGCTGTCAAGTTATACATCAACCTAGCTTAAGCACATTTCACTGCAATTTCAGCGCTGCTAGGATTAATACCCAACAACACTGTGATAGCACATTCACCACATGGACTACAGTGATTTAAGGCAATGATTCAACAATACTGTCTTGGGGATTTAAGGGATGCCCATGAGAGACAGCATGAACACACGGTCTTTCAGGTGGATCCTGCATTTATTAGAGATGAGTGTTCATGCTTTGGAGGGAGTGCCTGTCCCTGAGAAACAGGAGTATGTCCATGGGAGGTGGATTTGAGAGAGATGACAGCTCCCCCTTGGGAAAGTTTAACGTCCATCATTAGGCCAGTGGGAGGAGGACACACTGACTGGAAGAAGTAGGGCTATCACAAATGACATAAGCACACCCAAGTTCAAAGCTTATGCTCCTGAGAGGAACAAGGAGGAAGAAAGTTGAATGAATTACCTATTTTCAATTCAGACAATGAATTATCTTTTAAAAGCCAGAGCTGAATTTGTCTCTAGATGCTGTGGAGGGCAAAAAAAAAAGAAGGTTTTACAGGGACCCACCTCCTCTCAATCATCTCACTATCCCCTCAGTCCATCCTTCCTTGAGAAAGGTATCCAAATCCTACTAAATATATTTATACTGATAACTAAATGTACTTCCTCGGTAACTTGTTTCACAACTTTATTGCCAACTGGTCTTCCACCTTCCCTCTCCTGACTTCCCTTCTAATTGCTAACTTTCTAAGTCTTACATGTGTGCTTTACAACAAAAGTAAATAAATACAAAGATAACACAGTGTGGAGCTAGAGGAACACAGCAGGCCAGGCAGCATCAGAGGAGCAGAAATGGTCCCAACCAGAAACGTCAGCTTTCCTGCTCCTCTGATGCTGCGTTCCTCCAGCTCCACACTGTGTTATCTCTGACTCCAGCATCGGCAGTTCTTACTATCTTTAAATAAATACAAAGATTGGAAACAGTGCAAAATATATATATTCATAAAAATGTTTAAATGATACTACGAGGGGCAACTAATTAATTATTTCTGAAGCCATTTTACACACAGCAAGATCCAACGTGCAATGAGCTAAACGGCCAGGTTATCTGATTTTCTTGCTAGGAGAGGGCTGGCATAAAAGGACACAACAGTTGTTTGCTCTTGGTATTGACTTCTGGCCGGAACATAGAACAGTACAGCACAGGAATGGGCCCTTTGGCCCATGATGTTGTGCCAAACATGACGCCAAATGAAACTAATCCCTTTTGGCTGCCTTTGGTCCATATCCTTCCATTCCTTGCATATTCATGTGCTTATTGAAAAGTCTCTTATACGCTCCTATCGTATCTGCCTCCACCACCACCCCTGGCAGTGCATTCCAGACTTGTACCACTCTGTGTAAAAAAACTTGCACTTCACATCTCCTTTGGACTTTCCCCCTCTCACTTTAAATGCATGCCCCCTCGTTTTCGGCATTTCAACTCTGGGAAAAAGATTCTGACCATCAACCCTTTGTATGCATCTCATAATTTTATAGAACACTGGTAATTTCTTTTCTCTACCTGGGACATTACATTGTGAGGCAACATGGGTGGGGGCATTGGACGGGAAAAGAAGACAGCAAAGGGAAGAGCTAAGCTCTTCTGGTGCAGACTTACCTCCTTCCTGAACATCTCTTTGCTTCTCTTGGCAAGTTCGGTTGAGGTGTCAGCCTCTGCTGTTTTAGGCTTTTTCTTGGATGACTGAACAAGAGATATAAAGGACTTTGGTAACTTCAGAGAGAAAATGGAGGAAGGCAATTAATTAAAAGTTAAACTTCCAGATCCCACCTACCAGCTACTGAATATTACATGGCAAAAATCACTCACCCAGCTGTTACAACCTCATATTCACCACATCCCTTCGCCCGCTGGTTTGCCATTAACTCATTCAATTGTACCTTAACTAGTCCCAATGTCCTAATCTTTCCTTGCCATCTTCTTTGCCAATGTTCTCCTTTGGTGAAAATATTTCTACTTACCCTTCATGTGGTCCATCATCCCCTTTTTCTAAAATTCTTGTCCACAGTGAATTTTTTTGTCAACTGGCATCACCAATTTTCTTTTTTTTTTTTTTTTTTTTCTTCTCTTTTTAATTTTTTTTTTTTTTTTTTTTTTTTTTACTCGCTTGTAGATTGTAATTAATTTTTAATGTTACTATCGCACTCGCATATGCCCATACCTTGTGTGACACCGAGCTATGGAAAGGGTGGTTAAGGAAGGTTTGGGGGGGTGGTGGTGGGGAGGATGGTAGTATTTGATTGGAACTTTAGGATGGTGCAGCACAACAGTATTACAAAAGGGAAGGGCAGGCTCAATAATCACTGCAGGGACAAGAGCAAAAAACTTATTAAAAAAAACAAGATCCTTTTAAAGTATTATTGCCCTGTTGTGCCAGATGGGAAGCCTAAAAAGCTATTCCCTGTACTTTTAGTGGACTCAATGCTCAATGTTTCCAATTCATGCAGAACTATCAACAAAATGAACTGGATGTTCATATCCACAGTGCAATGTGATTGACTCTTAGGGATAGGCAACAAATGCTTAGCCAGAGATGCACACATCCCATTTGAGAATTGAAAAACAAAAACTGGGGTGGTGGTGGTGAATAGTCATAGTAAGTTCCATTCAAAGAGAACAGGACCCTGGTACAAAAGTCACTAAAACCTACTTTAGTTATATCAGGTAATGGAAAAGAAGTGTACTGCTCAAGCCAAAAAAGAGAAATAACAAACAGGTTTATAAAGCATCAGTACTGATGCACAGGTTACAGTGTATTGCCCAAAGAAGAGCTCTATATATACAAATGTACGGACTGTAAGGAATAAATTAAATGAGCTGCAAGAACAAATTCGAATTGGAGATATTAGCCGTTACTGAGACGTGGCTCCTGGTCGGTCTGGACTAGAAACAAAATGCATCCGGTTATGAGATTTACAGGATGGATAAGGAAAATGGCAGAGGGGATGGGGTAACCTTACTCATCAGAAACAAAATCACTTCATGGTGACAGAGGATATAATGAGGGGAGACTTTATGGGTGAAACTGAGGAATATTAAAAACCTAAAACTGTAATAGGTATTGTATAAGGACTCATTGGTAGCAGCTGTGGGTGCTAGATTGTAGAAATATGGAAATTACGAAAATGTGTAGCAGAGGCAGAGTAGTGTTAATGGTAGATTTTATCTTTAACATCGAGGGGGAAGGCAGACAAGCCCCTGTCAGAAAGATGGTGAATTTCTGGAGTGTATTCAAAATAGTTTCATACAGCAATATGTCCTGTATGCATCAAGAGGACAAGCAATATTGGATTTATTAATGGGTAATGAGCCAGATTTAATTAGTAACCTAAATGTGCGTGAATATTTATCAACTAGTGATCATAACGCGATGGAGTTCAATGTAGCATTTAGAAGTGAGTTTTAGCTCTGGGTAAAACTGACTTTGTTGAGATTAGACAGAGACAGTCCGGAGTAAACTGGGAACAACTCAAGAACAGTGGATTGTTGAACAGAGACACCTAGGGTTCAGGTACATAGTTCCTTGAAAGTTGCACCACAGGGTGTTAAAGGTGGCATTTGGCACCCTTGCCTTCATAGCTCAGATCATGGAGTATAGGAAGTGGGACATTATGTTGTGGTTGTACAGGACGCTGGTGTGGCCAGTTTTGGAGTACTGCGTCCAGTTCTGGTCGCCCTGTTATAGGAAGGATATTATTAAATTGGAGACAGTGCAGAAAAGATTTACCAGGATGTTACCAGGATTGGAGGGTAGGAGTTAAAAGAAGAGGCTGCATAGGCTGGGACTTTTTCCACTGGAGCATAGGAGTTAAAGGGTGACCTTATAGAGGTTTATAAAATCATAAGGGGTATAAACAAGGTGAATATCAAAAGGTCTTTTCTCAAGGATCAGGAAATTCAAAACTAGACGGCATTTTTTATGGTGAGAGGAGAAAGATTTAAAAGGGACATGAGGGACAACTTTTTCCACACAGAGGGTGGTTTGCATGTACAATAAACTACCAGAGGAAGTTGTGGATGCATGTATGCTTACATCATGTACAAGACATTTGAACAGGTTCATGAATAGAAAAGTTTTAGAGGGTCATTGACCAAACATAGGCAAATGGGACTAGTTTAGTTTGGGAAACTTGGTCGGCATGAACAAGTTGGACCGAAGGGTCTGTTTCCATGCTGTATGATGCTATGACTCTATGACTACATTTAAAAAAATATTTAATGCAACAAAGAACAAGTTTATATCTCCAAGAGGAAAAGCTTTCTTCAAAAAAAAGTGTGGACAACTAAAGAGATAAGGGACAGCATAAAATTGAAAAAAAAAGGGCTTACCAAAATGCAATAGAAAGCAAAGTTTCTGCTTAATGGGAAAGATGCAAAGGGCCACAAAGCATCTTACAAGAATTACTGAAAGGGGTTACAAAAGGAAACCTGCAAAAGGACAAAATCAAGAAGAAGAAATTTTATAGTTACATAAAGGGAAAGTAGGTGGTCAGGAGCAATATTGGCCCACCAAGGGTTGAAAGTAGGGATATTATCAACGACCACAGGGAAATGACAAAGATATTAAATAATTACTTTGCTTCAGTATTTACAGTAGAAAAGGAGAATAGCCTGTCAGAAATCCCAAGGAAATCAATACTGGATCAGAGTCAGGACTGAATAAAATTAACTTAAGTATACCATCAATGATGAGGAAATTAATGGTATTAAAGAGTGACAAATCCCCAGGACCTAACAGTTTCCATCTGAGGGTATTCCATCTGTGGAGGAATATACTGCAGATGCCGTAACAATAATCTTTCAGAGTTTCTAGATTCAGGACTCAGCCCTCTGGATTGGAAAATTCATATCACTCTGCTTTTTAAGAAGGGAACAAGAGGAAAGCCAGGCAATTACAGACCAGTTAGCTTAAAGTCTGCAGTCGAGAAATTGTTGAGAGTCTCTAATCTAATTGAATGACGGAACAGGCTTGAGGGGCTGAATGGTCGACTCCTGTTCCTATGCTTTGAATGTATTAACAGAGAAGTTAGTTTTTTTTGATGGACATGGGAGTTAACACTTTTGGGAGACAGACAGGAAAGTGGAGTGGAGACCACAGTCTGATCAATTATGACCTTACTGAACGGCTGAGCAGGCACGAAGGGCCAAATTGCCCACTGCTGCTTCTAGGTTCTACGTTCCTATCATCTAATTCAGACTCAGACAGTCACCAGGGAGAGGGTTAGAGCTGGGGGTGATGGAGCAGAGATTGCAGTGGGAATTGAAAGGCAATGGCTTTGGTCATCCCAATATCGGCATGCCTTTCCCACCAACACATGCATGCTGACTGCATGCACACATACTGTACAGGTACACACACCTGGCTATATGAGTTAGGTGTCCCGTCTCCACTCCCATCCTGTCCATGTAACTCAGTGAGCATTGGGTCCTAAGAGAAACAAGAAACAGACAATAAAGTTCCCCTTTTAGTACTCTAGCTGATAGATTTCACGGTCTTCCCCTTTGATTCATAGCAATTAGGTAAAACCAGCAAATAAGAAAACCAGATCAAGAGGATAATAATATGCCATCAAGAAAAAATGCAACAGTAGTTACTGAACCTCATGACCTGACTGGGTATGCATCACTGAGTGAAGGATACAGTGCATTGAGTAAGAAAGGAGACACTGATGAATGAAAGATACCAAGATCATTCCTTTTTTTGCACCAAAATTGCCAAAGAGCCAAAACTCCTAACAGCAGCAAGAATCATCACCTTGGCTGGATGTTCATCATATGTGGGAGTCCCAAGATCCATTTCAGCTTCGTGACCCACACTCATGTCGTCGCTGCCTCCGTCCCATAACGGCGGGTCCCACTGCGTTTGCCTGGAGGAACATACAATATAATTGAGCAAGGTGGGTTCTTAGGCTGCTCAGGAAAGCAGGTAGAACACAGTAGGAGGTTGTTGAATGCGCTCCATATTACCATCACCATCGGGTGCAGTTCTATTTAGATAACTGAGGAACCTCCTGGTACTGGAGAGCATGGAGGTTAAGAGAAATTTAAAATGTAACCGTGAATTGGGTGCCTGAGAAGAGGCAAGAACTGGGAATGTGAAATGCAAAGTCAAGAGGTCACCTTACTGATACGCGGGATGCAACCAATGGTTTAAGACAGCCACCATCAGTGTATAAGATTTCAAAACAGCAACAACCGAATCATCTATTTCATCGCACACAGAACAGTACAGCACAGGAACAGGCCCTTCGGCTGACCTTGATGCTATTCTAAACTAATCCCATCAGCCCGTACATGGTCTGTACCACTCTATTCCCTGCCTGTTCATGTATCTGTCTAAATGCTTCTCAAACTTTGCTATCGTATCTGCTTCTATCGCCTCCCCTGGCAGTGCATTCCAAGCATCTACTACCCTTTCTGTTAAAAAAAAACTTTTCTTGTAAATCTCCTTTAAACTTTCCTCATCCTACCTTAAATCTATGCCCCCTAGTATCTGATGTTTCCACCCTGGGAAACAGACTCCGACTATCCACTATCCATGCCTCTCACAATGTTATACACTTCTATCAGGTCACTCCTCAGCCTCTGATGTTCGAATGAAAACAATCCAAGTTTGTCCAATCTTTCCTAACAGCTAATACACTCCAATCCAGGCAACATCACGATAACTGCTAGTGCACCCTCTCTGAAGCCTCCACTTCCTTCCTATACACCAAATGTGGCCTGACCAAAGTCTTATACAGTTGAAACATGCCTTGCCAACTTTTACATTCAATGCCCCAACTGATGAAGGCAAGCATCTTATATGCCTTCTTTACCACCTTATCCACTTGTGTTGCCACTTTCAGGGAGCTAAGGATTTGGACCCCAAGATCCCTCTGTATATCAATGCTCCTCAGGGTCCTGCCATTTACTCTATACTTTTCTCTTGCATTTAACCTCCCAAAATGCATCACCTCACACTTGTCCAGCAAGTGGATTTAACTCCATTTGTCATTTCTCCACCCAACTTTCCAGCTGTCTATAACCTGTTGCACCTTTTGATATCCTTCCTCACTATCCACAACGCCATCAATTTTTGTGTCCTCTGCAAACTTTCCAATTACACCGACATTTTCATCCAGATCATTTATATATATTACAAACAACAGAGGTCCCAGCATTGAATCTTGTGGAACACCACTAGTCACAGACCTCCAGTCAGAAAAACACCCCTCCACAACTATCCTCTGTCCTATACAGGCAAGCTAATTTTGTATCTAACTTGCAACTCGTGACTGATTTCATGTGATTTGATTTTTTGGATCAGCCTACCATGAGGGATCTTGTTAAATGCTTTAGTAAAGTCCATGTAAACAATATCCTTTGCCTTACCCACAATCATCTTCATCACTTCTTAAAAAAAAACACCCAATCAAGTTTCTGAGACAAAATCTCTCCTGCATAAAGCCACAGTGACTATTCCTAATGAGTCCATTCTTCTCCAAATGCTAGTAAATCCTGCGCCTAAGAATCTTCTTCATTAGTTTCTCCACCACTGATGTAAGGCTCACTGGCCTATAATTTCCTAGATTATCCGTGTAGCCCTTCTTGTACATAACACTGGCTATTCTCCAGTCTTCTGTGACTTCACCAGTGGCTGAAGAGGATACATAGATCTCTGTCAAGGCCCCAGCAATCTAGTCCCTTACCTCCTTCAGTTTCCTGGAATAGATACCATCAGGCTCTGAGGATTTATCTACCTTAATGTTTTTCAGGACATCCATCACCACCTCCTTCTTGATATCACCTTGCCTTAGAGTGTCAACAAACCCCTCTCTAAACTTACCATCACCCATGTCCTTATCCTTGATGAATACCAATGCAAAGTACTCATTAAGGATCTCACCCACTTCCTCTGGCTTCTCTCAAACACACACACACACACACACACACACACACACGAGTTCCATCCTTTGTCTTTGAGCGGACCTACCCTCTCCCTAGTTATGGTTTTGCTCCTAATATACACATAAAATGCCTTAGGATTCTCCTTAATCCTATTGCCAAGGACATTTCATGGCCCCTTTTAGCCCTGTTAATTTTCTTTAAGTTCTTTCCTATTTCCTCTACATTCAAGAGCCTTGTTTGAGTTCTGTTTCCTAAACCTTATAAATGCTTCCTTTTCCTTTTCATATGGTATTGGGTTGTAAGATTGACTGGTGGCCAGGACAGACAGGGAAGAATTTCAAAGCAGTGCCACTGGGACTTGAGAGCTTCAATTTAGTATCTCATTCAAAAGACAGTGCAGCCCTCCAGTAATACGGTCCTGAAGTTTAATCCTGACTGAGGCTGTGTGCTCAGGTTTCTGGAGCGGCAAGTACACCACCACTGAGGAAACCTAATTCCAATTGACAGGCAAACACAATGGGTAATATTTTTCTTAGTACAGAGAAATGCTACAATTCTGTAACTGTACAAAGTCACTTGCAGCATAGCTGATGTGAATGAGTGCAAGATATTCCATGCAGATATTTTTGTGTGGTGCCGAGTAAGTGAGGGAACAGGAGAGCTGAGCATCTTGATTCGGCTCTGAAGTCCAGTTTGTTACAGTCAATGACTCACTGACCTCAAATGGTTTTCCCGATCACCCCCTCTAGGCTGAATGGCTATCTTCATGTTACAGGTTATACTCCTTCTACCAACTCACTGGGATTGGGGCAGGTTCCACAAAAACCCACCTGGTAATCACGTGGTAGTAGTAAATCTTTCCCTCTGGGTCCCGAGCAGTCTTCCAGTTAGAGGGGAGGATGATGGTCTTCGGCTTTGGAGGCGAAGGAGGTGGCAAATCGTGAAGACTGTTGACAACTATCAGTTCCGGCTGGAGATTACAGATACAGAAGTCATTAAAATAGAAAGAACAACACACATAATCCAACAACAGTCTGCGGTGCAATAATACTGTAAATACCTGAAGAAACCAGACGAGGTAAGGCCAATTGTTTTGTGACCATGTGAATGAACGAATTAACTCAATAAGCAGCTGAATCAGTAAAAACCAAGCCGGACCCAGGTCTATTCAGGGACCTGTAATAGGGATGTCACTGTTGTGTGGGGGGGGTGGGGAGAATCTGCCAGCTTCCCCAGTTTCTGCCTCCAACCCGTGATGCCCATCGGAAAGCTCTTGTGCCTGCATGTCTGATGAGAATGCTGCCTAAAAGTGCTGTCAAGGACTGGTACACAAAGAATAGCCACTTTGGCAAGTGTGATAGAGTTCCCAGTGTGTCATGAGCCATGGAGAGTTGGCAAGGGAGTGAAAGGGTGATCAAGAAAAGTAATGTGGCCTTTTGAGAGCATCAATCATCTTCCTTATTTATTCTCAGGAAGTGGAAATTGATGTCAAGGGTGGTACTTATTATCCATCCCTTGCTACCTCTAAAAGATAATTTTTTGGAATAGTTTGATGCAATTAAATGATTAGAGGTGACAAGGTGAGAGGGTGAACAAGAGTCAACCTCCAAGTTGGTGTGGGACTTGATTCAGACCAGCTAAGGAGATTATTGTTGAATTACCTGGATTTGTACAACAGTCAGCCAGCAATCTTCATGGCCACTTTTACGGTTACCAGACTTTTCTTCCAGATACTTTTTGAAAACCAAATTCAGATTTGCAGATCATGGTAGGACTTGAAATCCTGTTTCTCGAGGTTACTTGTCCAGTTACATAGCTCTAACCCTATCACATACTTAGCTGTGCAGAGTTGCTACGGTTGCTGATCAAACATCCATTTGATCCCTTTGCTCCATCATTCAATGAGGTCATAGGTGACTGATTGTGGCCGTAAGTGCACACTCCTGTCTATTCCCTATAATTTCTGGGCAAACAACAGTCAAGAGGTTATCTACCATTGCCTTAAAGCTATTCAATGGCTGCCCCAACTGCTCTCTGGGAAGAGTATTCCAAAGACACAGGCAACTCATAAAATTTCTCATCTCTCGCTTAAATGAAAAAAAATTTCATTTTTATGATGTCTATACTAGTTCTAGTTTCTTCCACAAGGGGAAGAAACATCCATTCAGCATTTATCCTTTCAGCCCTTTCAGGATCTTATAGGTCTCAAGAACAGATGGATGACACCTTTCTAAACTAAGCACCTTTTGACTGTATACAGTCTGTCCCCCCCTATTTCTTGCCTATTCAACTCTGTCACAGCTCTCAATTTTCGGAACTGCACAGGAAACAGGCCTAGCTAACTTTTCCTCATAAGATAACCTTACCATCCCATGTATCACTCGAATGAACCTTCTCTGAACTGCTTCTACCACATTTGTGTCCTTTCCTAAAAAAAAGACCATAACTGTACATATGTGGTCTCACCATTGCTCCTGTATAACAGTAGCAAAGCTTCCCTATTTATATATTCCATTTGCCTTGGAATAAATGACAACATTCCATTTGTCATTTTAAGCTCTTGCTCTACCTACATATTACCTTCTTGTGATTCATGTAGCAGGGCACCCAGATGCCTCTGTACCAGAGTTCTGCAATTTCTCTACAATGAAATAGTATGCTCTTTTTCTACCTGCCAAAGCACACAAGTTCACATTTCCCACATTATGCACAATCTGCCAAATTTCAGCATTTTAGACTTAGTTAGTCTATCTATATCCTGACACAGACTCTTTGCATCCTCTTCATAACTTATGTCCCTACCAATCATTGAGTCATCAGCAAATTCAGCAGTATTTGGGGATTTTATTCCTATTTTTAAGCTTACCCGTTTGGTTCTACTGCTTAGCGGAAGATCTTATGAATTGTAGTTCTCTCCGAGCTTGACTTAAGGCCCCTCTCCAAACTAACGCTTTAAAACAGACTAATTGGGCATTCATCTTGTGTCTGAGAGTTAGTGTGCCTGTGCAGGTGTACATTTGTACGTGCTTGTATGTACACATGTATGTCAGTATGCAAAGGACTTTGTGCGAATATATGTGCACACACGTACCCCAGTATCTGTACGTCTCTACACAGCCACTGTGTGTCTACATAACAGGCACAGCATCAAAAATAGGACCCAGTTTGCTGCTGCTAACATCTCATTGCCTCCTTTCATTGGGACTTTTTGGAAGAAGGGCTGAACCATGCTCCCTCTAATTCAGAGGAGGGAACATTGTTACTTAGCCGAAGACCATATTGTGGAGAGACTTTCAGACATCTTGACACCATGATAAGCTATGTACAAATGTAAGGCTATGAACTGAACTCAAATCCAGGACTACCTGGTGCACAGGAGTTGGAGGAGGTGGGAAGAGTAAAGGACAGGAAGATAAGAAAATACCACAAGAAGGATTAGCACAGCAAGTACCTGTTGTACAGTCTGTGGTTGCCCAGGTTGCTGGTAGGATGGGGCTGATGATGTCACGAGCATTCCTGCTGCTGGCTGTGCAACAGCACCCTGTGGGTGAGCCAGGAAACACTGCTGCCCCTGTCCGCAGTCAGGACTTGACTGAGTGTAACTCTGCAATGAGCAAAGACATAAAGACAGAAAGAGACAGAGGAGAGAGGGAGGCACACACATACGCACAAAGAGACAGTGACAACTAAAGAAAAGACATGCACTTATATAATTACCCCTCCACTCTCCCTCACCAACTCTGTCGCACGGCTGATTAATAAGAAAAGGTCGAGGACTGTACCTGGACGATTTGCTGAGTAGTTTGTCCGTAAGGAGAGGATATACTGTAAACAGGCTGGCACGGCTGTCCCTGGTAATAAATTGGCGCCTGGGGCTGCCCACTGGAATATTGCTGGTGCACTGCCATTGTCTGCTGGTTGGGATCCCACACTCCATAGCTCTGCCCGGTTGTTTGAGTACCGGATACTTGTATTGCTGCCACGTTTGGGTCTTGGGCGATGACGACAGGAGCCTGAGCCAGGTACTGTTGCCCCTGGACTTCTACCTGAGGTGACAGATGCTGAACCGTGGAGTGCCCTGCTGGCACCGACTCCGACAACAGTGGCTGCGGGTGCTCGTAGCCCATCTGCGGAGGGCACAAGGGCTCCATGTTTGGTGTTGGCAGGAGCACTTTGCCAGCGTTTGGGTTGACCGGGTCAACATAAGTCTGTAGAGGGTAGCCCGGCGGGTAACTGGCAAAGCTCGTGTGAGAGTTGCTGTACGTTCCAGAGTCATAAGGCACCTGCGAGCTAACACAAATGGGTTGTATTTGCTGTTGCTGCTGCTGCTGTTGTACCAGGTACAAGCTCTGTTTCTGCGCTTCCCTTTGTGCTACCTCTTGCTCAAACAGCTTCCTCCGTTCCTCTGTAGATAGTTTACTCCTGGTTTTCTTCTTCTTAGCTGGTGTTGCACCGTCGTATCTTTTTGAGACAAGAAAAAGCAACATTATACAGTAAAGTTTATAATTAACAATAAAACAATAAACACTCCTCTCATTCCAACAGAGATCAGAGATTTTTTTCTAAATCAAACCTGTCTCATCACCTTGAAATTTATGATGCATTTCATGTACAAATTAATTATTTTATTCTTGGAGTGTGATCAGCCATCCTGAAGGATTGTTTTCACAACCGAGTGGGTTGCTGGGCCACTTCAAAGGATTTATAAAAGCTCTGATAATCCCAACATTCCTCTAACTTAGGCCTCTTATGCAATGTCAGCTACCTTGGCTTATAACAACTTATTACCTTAGCTCTGCAACTGTCTCCGTAAACCTCTCTGCCTCTCACCTAATTCGATGCTTTGAAACTTAACTCTCCTAGTCCTTTCCCCTAACTGGTTTCTCCTCTGGCCTGATGCCAATTTTAGTTCGAGTACACTCTTGTGATTCACCTTCGGCAATTTCATTATGGTATACAAGCTTTATAATCGCAAATTGTTGCAGTGAGGAACTGGAATCACATGTAAGCCAAGACAGATTAGGAATAGTTTCTTCCCTGAAGACATCTGGAAACTAGCCGAGTTCTGACAAAAATTCAGCAATTTGCAAGGCCGGTTTGCACTCTGCTGACCAACAAATTATCGGACCTGTTGAATTCAGTCTCAGAGTTGTACGATACAAACAGAAAGTGCTGGGAATACAGCAGCACCTGTGCACAGAGTCTTGTTGGTGCACAGCAACAGGTCCGAGCCAAAAACATTGGCCAGACAGCATGGTGGTGTGTTGAAGTAACAGGCAACTGAAAGCCAGGGATCATTTTGCAGATGGAATTTAGGCATTCTGCAAAGTGATTTCACAGAGTGATCCATTATCCGCACCTCTCCCTTCACTCTGTCTCTTCCTTTCTACAATACTAATAGGGTTCCACTGGTCCTTATTTTTCACCCCAATAACATCCACAACCAAACAAGTGTTAGCAGCCATTTCCACCACCTCCAGCAGGATGCCACCACCAGATACTCATTCCCCTCCCTCATCAGCATTCCATGCTATCGCACAAGGCAGAATACTTGCCTGTTTACTTCCTTCCTCCTCAGTACCCAACGACCCAAACACCTTCGAGGTGAATCACCGATTTACCTTAACTTCACTTAACCTAGTCTACTGTACTCTCTGTTCACAATATGGTCTCCTCGAGGATGGGGAGATGAAACACAGACTGGGCAGTCGCTTTGTAGAACACCTTTCCATCTGCAAAAATGAACCCATGTTTCCAGTTGCTTGCCACTTCAGCACACCACCGTGTTCCCTCATCAACATTTTTGTCGCGGGCCTGCTGCAGTGCTCCAGTGAGGCTCAACGCAGTTGGAAGACAGCACCTTATTTTCCACTTGGGGACCCTGCGGCCTTCTGGAGTCAATATCGAATTCAATAACTTTAGGGCTCAAACATCACCCTCCATGTCCTTTACTTGTCCCCACACCCTATGCCCCGTCATCACATGGGCTGCTTAAAGCAGCCCTTCACCTTTTCACCTACTTATGGTCCCATTATCAACTCTTCTATCTCCCTTGCTCACCATTATCCATCCTTTTGTCTGCCTGTCTTTCTCTCCCTCTCGTCTCCATCTCAATTGCTTATTCCCTTAGCCACACCCACCAACTCTGTCTTTAGGCGCCTTTACAGTCTTGAAGAGGGGTCACTGGACCCCAAACGTTAACTCTGCTTCTTCTCCACAGATACTGTCAGACCTGCTGAGTTTCTCCAGCGATTTCTGTTTTTGTTTTAGATTTCTAGCATCTGCGGTTCTTTCTGTTATTTCATTAAAAGTATTAACTGGTCATTGCCTTAATGCTAGTTGTGTTCCTTACATTGCCAAAGTAACCACAACTTAAAATTTAGTTGATTGGAAAATGCCTTGGGTCATTCTAAAGTTACAAAAGGTCTGCTATAAAGCAAGCATTTTGCTGTAGACTACCTAGTTTTTTCTGAATCTGATAAACAGGATATGTATCAATACGTATGACACTGGAAGTTTCAGCTTGATACGCTCCATCAGAGATAAGTCACTGCCTAAGAATAACAGAAGGCTTCCTAGAACCCACAATACAATCAGAGTAGCTAGAAAGAAAGAGAAACAGAAAATAAGCTTGCCTTTCATCTGGGACAGATCTTTTCAGTCCTTCTCTCTCATAGGCTGAAGGTGGTGGCGAAGTTGCTGGTTTACGTTTTTTACGATCTTTGCTAAGTGTCTTGTCAGCATCCTTTTCTTTACCCACGTTTACTGGAGTCTTCGGAACCTGAGAAACATCCTTCTGTGACGCCCCATCCCTGCTGCGCTCTAGAACACAAAAAAAAACACAGCAACAAATCTTCAGGATCTCTCCAAGAGAAGAACTTTTAATTGGGATTGAGAAAGCAACTAGCAAGTCAACAAAAAATGAATTTTTAGTTCCATTTTGTTCCCATTTCTCGCTCTTATTTCTCTCTTAAAATAAAACTCTACTTAAATTAAGCCCACCGGCTTCCCGAGGTGGTGAACCGAGAACAACAACATTGATGGTGTAGACTTCCTTGCCCACCCTGGCTGAGATCCCCATGCTAACAGCAAGCACCTCCTTTTGTGTACCCATGCTAACAAACACTGCCAAATGCCACATCTTAAACTAGCCCTGCTATAATAGATGCTAAGCTAGTAGTTCCTTCCCCTGATTTTAGATTGCCAAATAACCAGGTCAGGTACAGCTGGTATAGTGAGTCAAACAGTAATTCAAGTGCAGAATTACCACCCTGTTAGATCTCCACTCGCCACAACAACTCTGCAGCTATTGATTCACTTTGCCATCCTCCCCACCCCAGCAAACCTTCACTGCTACGATCTAGCCTCGCCAGATCAGTCTTGATCAGCTCCACCAAATCTACAAGGGGCTTGTGAATTTCTGGTCACCAAGAGAGATATTTAGTTGGATGCTAAATTTCTCCTCATCACCAAGCCAAACCCAATCCTATGCCCCAGCCCCACAATAAAATCCTTGGCACACTTGAGCTCTTCCCCTCTTGTCATCACCAAACATATCACTTTCAATGAAACCTTTCCCCTGCTCTTTCAGACCCTTTCCCTGTGAGCTCCCAACTCCTCTCTGTTGTGAATGGTTCCCTCTAAAAAAAAAAATTCCATCTTGACAGCCTCATCAAAATCCCACCCTCAAACCCTTAGTTTGTGATCTCCAACCTCGTTTTACACTCACTGAATATGTTAATGCCTAAAGAATTTGTCACCATCTTTTCCACAACTCTTTATCCATCCTTTTGTTGGAATTTCCTCTGATCAAGCTTGTGCTTTGTCACACAATATTCCGTGACTCTGATCATGGTGGATGAATCCCAGTGTCCTCTGCAAGAGGTCAGATTGGCAGATTCCTAAATGGTCAACAATGCCACCTTCCTGAGTGCCTTTCCTCTGTTGTTCAGTTCAGTGGGACTAATGTGTTTGGCTTCACCCTAAACTCAAAGCACCTTCAGTGATTGCCTACCGTCTCATTGTCACTGCTGGAGTTCGCTAACAGTCAATCCTCAAGCCCTCTCCCCCCACCATCTTTGTCCACATTCTGCCTTTGACGACATCTCTTATAGACATGGGGTCAGTTTTCACATGTACATCAACAACATCCAGAATTAAATCATCACTGCCTCTCTTGACCTTCCCACTGCTCCTGTGGCATCAGACATCCAGCCCTGACATCTGGTCCTGATTGTCCACCACTTCCTTCAGTTCAACATTAAGCACAGTTTGGACAGTGACACCACAACCCTTGTGTGACTAAAATCTCTGGTTGAACTGGGCTTTGCAAACTTAGCATCTTATCTGACTCTGAATTGTGTTCGACTTCATATTCTCTCCATCACAAAGACTATCTACCTCTGCCACTTCAGTCAATCTTCTGCTAAAAAGCCTTTAACAAGATTTTGCCATCTCCAATTTCAATACTCTTATGTCTCTTTTTGACCAAGCGGTATTATCGCTAGACTATTAATCCTGAGACCCACGTTACTGGGGACCCAGGTTCGAATCCCATGGCAGATGGTGTATTTGAATTCAATAAACAAAATCTGGAATTAAGAGCCCATTGATGACCATGAAACCATTGCTGATTGTTGGAAATCCCCATCTGCTTACCTATTGTCGTTCAAGGAAGGAAACTGCTATCCTTACCCGGTCTCGCCTATATGTGACTCCAGACCCATAGTGATGTGGTTGACTCTTAACAACTGGGGATTGATATGAAATGCTGGCCCAGCCAGCGACAATTATCCCATGAATGAATAAAAAATGAAATACATTAGCTCAGTTTCTCAATGCCTCAAGTTTTAAATTCACAACTTGTGGTTAAATCGCTCCATTTTGTCACCTCTCCTTTTCTCGGTGAACTTGCCCAGCTCTAAAACATCACATCTAAACACTATGTTCCTCCGATTCTTGCTTGTGGTGCATTTCCCCCCTCCTTCACTACCATTGAAAGCCATGCCTTCATCAGCTTCAGATGAATGCTCTAGAGATCCTGTCCTAGACACTGTTAGGTTTTCGGTCAATCTGCTTGATCTTTTCTCTTTTAGTTGGATAGCAGTGCTAAATAATTGTAAGTTGTTGTTTTGGTGGGATGGACAAAGGGGGAAAAGAGATAGTCATACTGACAGTACACCCCATCTCCATCTCACACAAACACCTAGGTACCTCACGTAGACGATATATCAGAAGTCAGACGACACCAGTGTATAGGCCAACGGGTTTACTTGAAATCATAAGCTTTTGGAAAGCTGCTCCTGTTGACCTGACGAAGGAGCAGTGCTTCGAAAGCTTGTGATTTCAAATAAACCCGTTGGACTATAATCTGGTGTCATGTGAGTTCTGACCTTATCCACCCCAGGCCAGCACCAGCATCTCCACGTCATTTTGACTACAGGCAGTGAATGGGTCAGGTTGATGGGAGAATAACAGCTGCATCCTCTGCATCCAAAACCTAAAGATTAATGAACAGTCAGCAAACAGAAGTGGCTACTCGCTTGATTTGCACCACCCACTTTGTATACTGACAGATCAATATTATGACGTAAACCTTGTGATTTATGTATATATTCAAAATCATTTATTTCACACTTAGGTTTCTGATTTTTAACTAAGTAACTGGTAGAACTTGAGTGTGCCTGAAATTAATAATTAATTTCTAAGTATTTCTGTAACCATTGTGATTTCTTCTAAAAAAGAATTTTTGAGAGGCCTGGCTTTAGGGCTTTCACAGAGTCAGAGTCCCACAGCACGGAGACAGGCCCTTCGGCCTAAATTAGTCCATATCGACACAAATGCCCATCCACCCTAACCCCATTTCCCTGCACTCGGCCCATATCCTTCTAAACCTTTCTTATCCATGTATTCGTCCAAGTGCCCGTTAAATGTTGTTAATGTATCCATCTCAACCACTTCCGCTGGCAGCTCATTCCATGTGTGCGCCACCCTCTGTCAAAAAACGTTGCCCCTTAGGTTCCCATTTATTCCTTCCCCCTTACCTTAAACTGATGCGTTCTAGTCCTCGATTTTCCAACTCTGGGAAAAAGGCAGACTGCATTCACCCTATCCATGCCTCTCATGATCTTATACACTTCTGTAATATCCCCCCTCAGTCTCCTACGCTCTAAAGAAAAATGTCCTAGCTTGTCCAAGATCTCTCTATAACTCAGTCCTGGCAACATCCTTGTAAATTTCTTCCGCACTCTTTCCAGTTTAATAACATTATTCCTATGGCAAGATGACCAAAACTGACCACAATACTCCAGTTGCGGCCTCACCAATGTCCTGTACAACTGCAACATAACTTCCCAACTTCAGTACTCAGTGCCCTGACAGACGAAGGTCAGTGTGCCAAACGCCTTCTTCACTGCCCTGTCCACGTGACTCCACTTTCAGAGAACCGTGCACCTGAATCCCAAGGTCCCGCTGTTCCACTACACTCCTTAAGGCCCTACCATTCACCATGAAAGTCCTACCTTGATTTGACTTTTCAAAAACACAACACCCCACACATCTATATGAAACTCCATTTGTCATTTCTCGGCCTACTTCCCCAACTGATCAAGATCTTGCTGCAATTTCTGATGATCTTTCTTACTGTCCATGATACCGCCCATTTTAGTGTCATCTACAAACTTATTAATCACGCCTCGTACATTCTCATCCAAGTCATTGACGTAGATAACAAACAGCAATGTGCCCGGCACTGACCCCTGAGGCACACCACTAGTCACAGGCCTCCAGTTAGACAAGCATTCTTCCACTATTACTTTCTGCTTCCTACCATCAAGCCAATTGTGTATCTGACTGCCAGCTCTCCCTGGATTCCACGTGATCTAGCCTTCCAGAGCAGCTGCCATGTGGAACCTTATCAAAGGCTTTACTGAAATCCATGTAGACTACGTCTACCCACCTGCCCTCATCAACCTTCCTGGTCACTTCATCAAAAAAGTCTAACAAAATTGTGAGGCGTGATCTCCCACACATAAAGCCATACTGACTATTCCTAATCAAACCCTGCCTTTCCAAATGCATGTGTACCTTATCCCTCAGAATCTTCTCAAGTAACTTACCTACCACAGATGTTCAGCTTACTGGTCTGTAATTCCCAGGTTTTTCTTTGCAGCCCTTCCTGAATAAGAGCACAACATTCGCTACCCTCCATCTTCCGGGACCTCACCCATGGCTAACGAAGAGCAAACACAACAGCCAGGGCCCCCGCAATTTCTTCTTTAGCCTCTGGTCGCATTCTTGGATATGTCTGGTCAGGACCAGGAGATGTATCCACCTTCATACATTCTAATACAGCCAACATCTCCTCTGCTGTGATATGGACGGTCTCCAAGATATCACCAGCAAGTTCCCAAGTCTTCATGTCTTTCTCCACGGTAAACACAGAGGAGAAATATTCATTGAAGACATTGCCCAGCTCCTGTGGTTCCACACATACAATGTCCATTTTGGTCCTTGGTGGGGTGGGGTCCTATTCTCTTGCTAGTTATTCTTTTCCCTTTAATATACTTAAAGAATATCTGAGATTTGTGCATCACCTACAGACTTTTGTTTATTTTCAATTGTTTTGGTGACCCAGCAAGATCAATAATGGGATCAGGAGGTTTGCTAGAAATGGCTAGAACTTTTAGAAACACCTATAGCTTAGAGAAGTAGATTTGGTTTTGCTTCTTTATCTTAAGTCCTGTGAAGTCCTTGCAATATGATGATTGTGGAGACCTGCTCTCCTGAGAAGGATATATAGCGAATTAGGTTACCTTAGAATGAGGAGATAGTGTTAATCCTAGGCCAGAAGTGTTAGGATAAAACACTGAAGAGGTAATTAAAGCTGAGAATATTTAAATAGGTGAATGATAGCTTCTGGAAGAAGCTATCTGCAGGTCCAGTCTAAAAGCTGAACTCAGCGCTAGATACCAAGGAGCAGAGTGGCATTGTGGTAATTTTCATAGATTAATAATCCAGAACCCAGGCTAATTTTCTGGAACATGGATTTGAATCCCACCACTGCAGATGATGAAATCGGAATTCAATAAAAATCAGGACTAAAAACCAGACTAATGGCAACTATGTAACTATTGTAAACTGTTAGAATCCCATCTGGTTCACTAATGTCCTTTAAAGAAAGGAAATCTGCTGTTCCTACCCAGTCTGGTCTACGTGCGACCCTGAAATGATCTAGCTAGCCAGTCGATTCAAGGGAAATTGGGGATGTGTAACAAATGGATGGCCCAGCCCAGTGATACCTACATCCCCGGTAAGGAAAAATAAATTTACTGTGTCATTAAGAATAGTAGACAGCCTGAGGATTGGAATAGTCCTAGAAACCAGAATAAGGTGACAATTAACAAAAAGGGAAAAATATGATGAAAGTAAACCAATCTGGAATATAAGAACAGATTTGGGAGGTTTTACAAAAGGATCACAGAGAAAAGGTGGAGTAGCGGGATTACACAAATTACTCTTGCTTAAAGGTGGCAGGGACACAGCATGTCAAAAGGTCACTGAGAATCATATGAACTTATTAAATGGTTACACCATGTATGGTAAAAGGATGGCGAAATTAAATATTGGTGCTTTAGAGACAGAGACCAATAAATGATCTAGGGAATGAGGAAACGGCAGAATCACTGAATAAATATTTCACATCCATCTCCAGAACCAAACAGACAAATTACATACCATAGAGGGCCAGAGAAATCAAGGAGCCAATAGAGCAAGGAGCCTCTGTCATACATACCAGTACTTTCCCGTTCTGTTTGGCTTCGATCCTTCTTGGGAATTCTGTACACTTCCTAATTAACAAAGTTAGCAAAGTCAGAAACAGGCATTTATATCAAACAATCACATCTCAAAGTTATCCTTGCAACAGGGAATGCTGTGTTGGGGAATGTGGCAGCTATTTTCCATGGTGCAAGGTCTCATAGTTTGGCACCAAGGCTAAGAATTACAAACTATTTTTGGATGAAAGGCAAATGTCGTCTGGTATACCAGAATGAATCTTTCTACAATTCTTCAGTTAGTGCCATGGGATCTTTAACATCCACCTGGACAGTTGGACAAGACCTTAATTTGTTGTTTTCTCATTGGAAGAAAGGCACTTACTAAACACAGGAAATAGGTCTCTTGAGCGAGCTCCACCAGTTCATAACATCATGACTGATCGAACTGTGCCCTCAATTCCCCTTTCCCAGCTATCCCCTATAATCAATGAAGACCAAAATTCTGTCTAACTTAGCCTCGAATATATTCAGTGATCCAGGCTCCACTGTTCTCTGGTGCACACAATTCTCGAGATTAAGATTAACAACCCTCTGAAAGAAGAAATTACTCATCTTCATGTTAAATAGAAGACTTATTTTGAAACTGTGCCCTAGTTCTGTTCCATCATTAGGGTGCTCTAGTTTCCTTCCACAGTCCGAAGATGCGCCGGTTAGGTGGATTGCCCATGCTAAATTGCCCATGGTGTTCAGGGATGGGCAGACTATGTGGATTAGCCATGAGAAATGCAGGGTTACAGGGATAGGGTAGTGGAGTGGGTCTGAGTGGGATGCTCTTCAGAGGGTCAATGTGGATGCGATGGGCCAAATGGCCTGCTTCCAGCTGGGATGTTAATCCAGACTGAAAGTGGCAATATAGCACTGTTCACCGCTACTTATAACTCAGCAACGGGTCTCAACCTTACAAACTATTGATTACACAGAGAAGGTCTGACACGCTTAGAGCAACTTCATTGCGCAGAAATCAGGTTGATGATGGGATCCAAACTTCTCATTCACAATTCAGAACATTAGTTATACGTCCCTCTCGTGCAACTCCTACCCAAATCTAGAAACATATAAGCCCTATAATATATAACCCCAATTGGCCTATGAAGGTGTGGCAATAGATTCTTGAACCATGGGGCCAGGGACTGAAAGATCATAACACAATCCAGCACTGGCCGCTCTCATTTTCTTGCACAAATGCACTGGACAACACAAGAAAGATGTTCCCTCGTTTTTGCTTGGCCTACACGGCTGACTTATTGCAGTGCGTGTCCCCTCTATGACTGCCATGTGGTCAAGCATCCTAATCGCTTGTGCACGGTCTGTTGGTTTCGCATGCAACATGGTTTGACTCTGCCACTGTCTCAGTGCATCTGCTGCTGAAATCCTCAGCCACATTTTTGTTATATTCAGATTCAACTATTCCTTTTTATTTGTTCATGAGACGAGTGCATTGCTGGCTAGGCCAATTTGTCTATTAATTGCCCATCGCTAAACGTCCAGAGGACATCTTAAGAGTCAACCACACTGGTGTGGATCTGGAATCATATATAAGCCAGATCAGCTAAGGACAGCAGATGTCCTTCCCTAAAGGACACATTGATGGGCTTTTACAACAATTGGCAGTGGTCATCATTAGGCCAGCTATTAAATCCAGATTTATACAGAATTCACATTTCACCATCTTCCGTGGTAGGATTTGCACCCGTGACCCCAGTGCATTCCCCTAGGTTTCTGGATTACTAGCCCAGTGACGTTACCACTATGCTACTGTCTTCCCTGTTCCACCACTCCCTACCTGCACTCACCTATCACCATCCCATCTACCTTCCCCAGCTCCACCCCTCCTCTATTTATTTCAGAGCTCCCTTCCCCCTCATTTCTGAAGAAGGGTCCCGACCTGAAAAGTCAGCTTTCTTGTTCCTTTGATGCTGCCTGGCCTGCTGTGTTCCTCCAGCTCCACACTTATCTTTTTAGAAAGCAACTGTCCTAATTTGTATTTGAGTGAATCAATATCGTACCAACTGCTTCCACCCAAGGGAGGCTACTGGCCATGCACTCCCTGAAATATTGTAATTCATGTCTCCATGAATTAGTTTCAACTTTAACCCCTTCAACTGTTAGCACTTACCTTCAGGTCCTTCCAGACATCAAGCAGTTTCATTGCCAGCTCACTCACATCTTCAATTTTACCGGGTTGTTCCTGGCTTCGCTCACTCTCTGCATCAGAAACGCCTTCCTCTTCATCCTGCGACGGTGTCTCCACCAAGATCCCCTCTTCCAGCTTTGTCCCATTGGTCGTTTTTGAAGCAGGGTCCGTCTCTTGGCCCTCTCCATCATCAGCTGGCACCTGGCCTGGTGGCTCCTCTTCGTCCAGCGGTAGGCATGGCAACGGTTCAATCGTAGTAACAACCTCGTCCTTCACCTCTTTGACCTCGACCTCTCCATCGGAGGCTTTACTCGTGTCAGAGAGGCCACTGTCCATGCTGTTCTCACTCATGATCTTCAGCCTCTTCATCACCAGTTTTTTGGAGGGGTCAGTGTCAGCTTCGGTGCTCTGCTTCAACGCAGGATCCTGTGTGTTCAGCGGTGTTTGTGCACGGGAGGTATTTTCACTCGAGTAACCATCTGCCTCGCTGATCTGAGGAGCGGAGGCCTTTGTTTGAGCCCAACGCTGAATAATAGGCAGGAGCTTGCTTTCCTCTAACATATTCTTGGTGGAGATTGGTAGCAGTTCCAGGGTCTTCATGATCTGTGAAGACAAGTGAACAACTCTACAGTTAAAGCTATTCTCATATTCCGGAGACTCACTTGCAGAAACAGGTAGAATTCTTTAGCAATATCAGTCTTCCTTCAAAAAGCTAAGCTTTCTTTCACAATTCCACCTACCGACTTCACTCATCCCCACACATTTCAACATGATAGTAAACTGAAGGACCACACTCCACATTGTAACTGAACTTCAACCAAGTTTTTTCTTCCATGTTAAAATTCTCAATGTTTTGTACTTTTATCTTGATTCTCTGTTACAGGAGCACCATAGTGTGGAGGACCCAATCCTTCACACTGCAGAACTGGGACCCAGCTGACTTGGTCTCTCCCACCGACTGGGTATCAGGCAACAATGTCAAATCCTTGAAGGTACAGGAATTTTACCAGGATGATACTAGGGATGACAGACTTCAGTTTTGTGGAGAGACTAGAGAGAATCTTAGTTTCTCCATACAGTAGAGTATGTTAAGGGGAGTTAATGGAAATATTCACTCATTTGAATGGAGCATAAATAGCACCGTGGTCTGACTGGGCCGAATCATATGGTTCAGTGCTGTATTTTCTATTGGATTACATTATGATGACTTTTCATTAAACAAATGGAGGGTTTCTCTTTGGTTCTGGTAAGTGAGCTAGTAATAGAGAACATTGACTTATTGGAGCTGACACGAGAAGAATCTTTCAGTCCAGTGCAAAGATCTGGAAGGATGGTGGAATCTGATCTCATAGCAATTCCAAAAAAGGTATTGGCAACCACTTGAAAATGGATTTTCCAAGGTACAGGGAATTAGAGGGATTTAATATCCAGCTCTTTCAATGATTGACCAAATGACCCCCTTCCGCATTGTGATATCCAAGGACATGAACTGAAGTGGAGTGTCAAATGCGTAAGTACTTTCTTTACAAATAAAGCAGAATATGCACAGCACCAGCTTTTCAGACCTGCTAACTTCACCACAATCTTTGGGTCTTTCAAGGCCTGCTCAGCCCAGTGCAATACACAGCATGGAATAGGTAAAGTCAAAGCTCCCTCTACACTTACCAGGAGAGGTACAGCACTGGTGAGAAATAAACTATTTCTCCTGCCTCGTTCTAGAACACATTCCCAGGTATTTAATGAGATAGTATTGATCAGATTTTATTTTGTATTCACAGCTAACGTGCAGTGCACTGAACCTACACTTGAATTGTAGCATTCCCACCTGAGTCAAAAGGTTCAGATTCAATCTCCTACTCTATAGGCAACTCAAGAGAGATGATCAGGGCACAGCATTGTTAACAAATTTCTAAGAGATGACACATCACTTTGCACCATTTTTTAGCATTTGTTAATATTTGAGCTCCCTCTGCTGGTGGAGGGTGAGTATTGCAGTTTCCCACTCAGGCAGCCAGATACAACACCTGAGTGCAACATGCCCTACAAATCTTTAGCTCAACGTACTTCAGTCTGAAACTTAATATTGTTGCTGGAGTTCCCTCGGCTATCGCCAAGCTCAGTCATCCAGATCCACAGCAGGGATAATCCATGGTACTCCAGAAAGGACTTCAAGCAACTCTGTGAGTGTGTGTTCTGCAAAACGAACATGTACGTTAATATTTTATTTAAAAAAAGACATTTTAACCTGTTAATCTTCTCTTCATGGCATTAACCTTCCTTTCCATTTGGAATATGGACACAGGTAGCAAAGCCAGCATTTATTGCTCATCCCCAATTTTTTTCAGCATTGCCTTCCCACCTCTACCACCCTTTCAGGCAGCAAGTTCCAGTACTCACCACCCTCTAGATGAAAAATACTTTCCTTAAATCCTCTCAAAACCTCCTGCCCTTTACCTTGAATCTATGCCCCTTGGTTATTGATTCCTTTACTGAAGGTGACAGCTTTATTCCTATTTACTCTATCAATGCCAATCATAATTTTACATGCTTAATTTACGTTCCCCTCTCAGCCTTCTCTACTCTAAGGAAAATAATCCTAACCTAGCCAGCCTCCCTTTATAGGTGAATTGCTCCAACCCAGGCAACATCCTGGTGACCATCCTCTACGCTCTCTCTAGTGCAATCACACCCTGTCTATAGTATCATGACCAGACTGTGCACAATACTCCAGCTCCAATGTAACCTGTCCTCTCTCTGTAATCCATACGGTAAAGGCTGACTCACGATGTTCTGTGTGTTCTTGAACTGCTAGTCATGGTTTGATAGAAATGATTGACTTACTGGGCAAGCGTATAGGGTAGTTATGAGCTGACCACATGAATATGGGCACTGGCTTCATATACAGGCTGGACAGGGGGAGGGGCGCCAGAGGAGAAGGATGGCACATGAACCATGTGGGCTTCTAGTGACAAGCCAACAAGTACATGGTCACTTTACTACATAAGCAACCATTTAAATCAAGACTAAAAAAAAAAAAATTAGGATTCAATTTTCAACCAGCTGGGATTTTAACTGTCACTCTGAATTACCAATCAAGTAATATCTTTGTTACACTACTCTTCCCAAGACTCTACTTGCTTTTGGAGAGGTAATGCCAATAAGGTCCACGTGATTAAACCATGAACGATTTACCAATAAGTGTACAAAGTCACACTGTCATCACATGCAATGCAACCCTCTCTGAATTAACTTCAAGCTTGAGGTTTTACTTAGCTTATAATCACTCACCGTTATTACAAGGGCCTCTCTCCCATTACCTGTATTATTTTCAGGCAGGTCAGCTTCTGCTCCATTGTCTCTATGCGGACCATCAGCCGAGTTAAACTGAGCACATGGTTTGAGTCGCACAATCCGTCACCATTCTCTAGGAATGCCTCTAGTTCTTCATCCACCTGACAATTGAGAGGAAAGAGAAGCTAGACCACATGGCTTGGCTATTACAAACAGTGAAAATAGGAGCAGGAGTAAGCTATTCAGTCCTTTGAACCTGCTCTACCATTAAATGTGAGCACGCCTGATCATCCTACTCATACCCTGTTCCTGCTTTCTCCCCATACCCTTTGATCTGTTTATCTCCAAGAACTGTATTTATCACCTTCTTGAAAACATTCAATGTTTTTGCTTCAATTGCTTTCTATGCGGAGAAGTTTACAGGCTCACCATTTTCTAGGTAAAGAATTTTCTCTTTATCTCAGACCAAAATGTCTACCTCTTATACGGAGATTGTGACCCCCTGGTTCTGGACTCCCAGGTCAGTGGGAACATCTTTCAAGTGTTGACTGGGTCTAGTCCTGTTAGAATTGCAAAGATTTCTATGAGACTCTCCTCCCCTTTCACCCAGCTTTCTGTCACCTATAAACCTGAGATATTATGTTTAGTTCCCTCATCTAAATCATTAATATTTATTTTGAACAGCTGGGAGTCCAAATACTGATGCATGCGGTAACCCACTAGTCACAGCCTGCCACTGGGTGGGGGGGGGGGGGGGGGGGGGGAAGAGAACAGTTTATTCATACGTTTTATTTCCTGTCTGTCAACCATCCACTTTAGCACACAACCAATCCCGTGTGCTTTAAATTCATATGCTAATCTCTTATATGGGATCCAATGAGAAGCCTTTTAAAACTCAAGTAAACCACATCCACTGACTTCCCATTATTAACTCTATTGATTACATCTTTGAAAATTTCTAGTAGATTAACAAGCATGATGTCCCTTTTGCAACTTTCATCTAACTGTGCCTATGATAGAGGGTAAGCAGGGAGAGAAAAGAAAGCTGCAATTAAACGTGGTATAAGTCATGCTGCAGGTTGATTAAAGCGATTCTCACAGAGTCTTTCTTTCGGGACCGATCCTTGTCCTTTAATTTAACCTTCCCTCCAGCAGCCCGGATGCTGACACGGTTTTCACCACCCAGGTACCCGCGACAATTTGCAGACCCACAGAAGCATTTCTGAGCCTCTTTCCTGCAGTTGAAAAAGAAAAATACCAATCAGTAACATGTTTAGCGTCAAACCCCAGCTAGGGACCAGGATACAACCCAGCTAATTAATCTATCGCATCTTCAGGGTTATGCCAAACATCAAGGATGAAAACTTCAATTTATATAACACCTTAACATAATCAAACATCTCAAGATGTATCATGGAATATTACAAAACAAAATATGATATCTGGTAATAAGAAATAATTACAATTGAGATGCACAAGAGACTAGAATTAGTGTGTAGATAACTCAGATGGTTGTGTGGCTGGAGCCGATTGCAAGATAGCAAGGGGCAGGGGCATGGAGGGATTGAAATCAAAGATGAGAATTTACTAATGGAGGGATTGCTTAACTGTGAGCCAATGGAGGTGAATGAACACAAGGATGACAGGAGAAGTGCACTTGGAGGGAGTTAAGACATAGGAGCACATTTTGGGATGACATTAAATTTATGGACCGTCGAACACGGGAAATTGTTCAGGAGTGGAATGGATTAGTCAAAAAGACAGGCAACACAATCATGGTTGAAGGTTTCAGCAATGAGTGAGCTGAATCAGGAGTCTATTTGGTAATGTAATGAAGGTGGAAGCAGGCAGTCTTGAGAGAATGGGGCAGTTCTTTGATTGAAAGCTCATCCAGGGGTCAATTATGACACCAAAGTTGGGAACATTCTGGTTCATCCTCAGCCAGAGAAGAATAAAGTCTATGTAGTAAACCGAAGATTATGGTTCCTTCTTCCCAATACAGGGGACCCCCAAGTTGCAAAATGTCCGAATTATGAACGCTTGTATTTATGAACCCAATCCCATACAGCAATGTAGTTTTGAAGATCCAACAAATGAACATTTCTTGTACTTATGAGTTCTATTTTATATTTCCCTGCACTGTGTTTTGACTTGTGTACAAATGACTTGCGAATGGACTCCGTTCACAACCTGGGGCTGCCTGTAACGAATGAGAGGACATTTCTCCTTATTCAGTGTTGAACATCTCACTAAGCAGTCTGATAATTCAGTCAAGGAAGAGGAGGTACTGGAGTCATTCAGGTACATGTGGAAACCAATGTGTTGAGGTGAGAAATAGGAGGGACTGATCCTTGGGAAAACCTGAGACAATGATGTGGGTACAGGAAGAGAAGCTTTGAGAATAATTCTCTAGCTATATTTAAGCAAGAATGGAACCATGTGAGTGTGGTATTACCTACACTGAAAGGACAAGGCTGTTAGTGAAAAAGCATGAGACGATGGTGTGGTCAATGTATCGAAGGCTGCACAGAAGTTAAGGATGAGGAGTGAAAGTTTACCTTTTGTCACAGTAACACTGGATGCTGTTTGTGGCTTTGGTAAGAGCAGTTTCAGGACCACAGCATATACAAGTCTGACCAGAGAGATTTAGATGCCAAGGTCCAGCAACATCAGCTAACACAGAGACCAGAAGGGTAGGTCAACCGATTCCAGGGAATAGGGTTAAGGAAGAAGGAAAGGAGGTGGGGAGGTAGTCTCATGGTCAAGATGATCTCGAAGACAGCACAGAGAGAAACTAGACAAATATACAAGTTCAGGATTGATTGTGGGGGTGGTGGGGGCAGTGTGTGTGTGTGCGCGCGTGTGTACGTTGAGAGTGGGGTGGGGGAAAGAAATGGATTTTAGAGGAACTCTGGCAGACAAACGGCTCAAGCAGTTGATCACATGATCACAATCTTAGTGAGAAAGAAAAAGTGATAGTGAAAGAGACATAGGGAAAGGGTTTTAGACAACTAACACTGACTGTAGAATAGTGTGTGCCAGGGTGTAACTATAATATATCCATCATTGATGAAAATTTGATACAACCGAGTGACATTCTAGGCAAATTTCAAAGCTAGCTATGAGACTTTGTTGTATGGTTACAGTCACATATTGGGCCAGATTTACTTCCCTGAGGATTTCAGTAAACAAATTGGAATTTTGCTACAATCTGGTAACTTTATGGTGACATGACTACCATGATGTGACTTGAACTCCCAATCTCAGGATTACACGCCCAGTAACATTACTGCTACACTTAATGACAGGCATAACTCGTCAACATAGCCATGTTCCTGTTGTCAGTCATATCTGAGGTACAGTTGGAGCTCTGGGCAGTGTGCTGTTCCAGAATTTGGGCACATGATGGGTGTCCAGGTCAGATGGTGTGAGGACAACTTAAAAGGTGATGCTATTCCCATGCATTTCGGTGGAGCAGTCCTTCTGGATAATGGAGGTCGAGTGCTTGGAAGGAGCTTCTGAAAAGTCTTTGGTGAGTTGTTGCAGTGCATCCAATGTATTGCATACATTGCAACACTGTGTGACAGTGGTGTTATATTGTAAAAGGCAGTGTTAAAGATGACTGCACAAATGGAGTTTAAAAAAAAACGGCATTTCAGTTGTACAAGCAGCCCTGTTAGACATCTCTTACCCATATCTCTGAAACTGGTAATCGAAGGTTAGCTCTGTCCCAGCTGGAACCGTCTTAGTTGTGAAAAATCCAACTCGTAGTTGCCCGTTTACTGTCCACTGGAAAGAACACAGATACCAGGAAGTGTAATATCAAAGAGCTTTTATACTACAAGAAAATACACACATAAAGAATAAGGCTGTCAGTTTGGCTTCCATTTCTGAGTCAGGAGAATAGGACAGGCGAGTCATATTGGAGCAAATAAACATGCAGGCAACTCAGGAGTTTGGAAATGACGTCAAACTTATGAAGAATGGAATGCAGGAGGTCAGCCTGAAGTGAACTGGAATAGTCAAATCCAGAGCTTGAAAGCTCCAGCTCTGGGGAGCTGAGAAAAGGGCAAAGTAGGATGCTGTTACAGATGTGGTCTTAGGAGATATGAACGTGAGGTTGGAGGGTCACATCAGGATCAATGGTGACACCAAAGTTGCAAACGTTGGCAGGGAGAAGGACACCGTCAGTAACCAGGGAACAAACACTGAAGACAACAGCATTGATAGACCCAATATTTAATTGTAGGGGCAGGCAATAAGTGCTGACTGAGTCAGTGATGCCCACACCCCATGAGTACATTAGAACAATGGGAACATTCTAGAAGTTAGGTGATCAGTATTTAGTGGGAATAGGATTGAATGAATAGGAGGTGGATCTCATGGACAAGATTAACTCAAACAGAGCACGAAGGAAGAGCAGAGACAAACTAGAAAAAGATGCTAATTAACAGCAGGGGTTGGGGGAAAAAGGTGAGGCTATAAATAAAGTTTAGCTCGATTGGCCATTGAAGGCCGAGCCATGGTGGAGGCTGTTAATCAGATACACAAAGAAACCCATTACTTGCTCACATTTCTTGTTGGAGGAGAGGTCAAAGGAGCTGGAAAGATGAGTTTTATAAGACAGTTTGCAGAGGAAAGAAGCTGACAGTTATATTTGCATTCCAAGATGATCCTGGAATAGTGAGTCGCTCTAGCAGACAAGAGCAGGGCTCAAAAAAGCAGAAGAGTGACAGAGTTTTAGACTACAAGATTATAAAAAAGATAGGAACAGGAGTAGGCTGTTCAACCCCCGAGCTTGCTCTGCCATTCAATAGGATCATGGCTGATCTGACATTGCTCACATCCACTTTCCTGTGTTTCCTCATAACCCTAGATTCCCCTACAGATCAAGAATCTGTCACCTTAAATATACACAAGGACTCTGCTCCCACAGTCCTTTGTGGTAAGGAGTTCCAAATACACTCAACCCTTTGAGAGAATAAATTCCTCCTCATCTCAGTTTCAGAATAAAAGGGTTCCAATTTAAAACTACGTCCTCTGGTCCGAGACTCTCCCAAAAGGGGAAACATCCTTAAGAATCCTCCATGTTTCAATGAGATCACTTCTCATCCTTCTAAACTCCAGTGAGTTTACTCTTGGGTCATAAGACAACCCCTCCATTCCAGGCATCATCCTTGTGAACCTCCTCTGAACTGTCTCCAGTGAAATGATATCTTTCCTTAAATAAGGGGACCAAAACTGCACACATTACTCCAGATGTACTCTCACCAGCACCTCCCCAAGTTTCAAGATTGCTAGATTCTTAGACTTCAACCCTCTTGAAAGAAGGGCGACATTCTATCAACCTTCTTGATTACCTGCTGAATCTGTGTGCTATCTTTTGGTTTCATGCACAAGTATTCCCAAGTCTCTTTGTGCTGCAACTTTTCTCAATTCAAATAATAGTATTCTTTTGTGCTCCCTTGCAAAATGAAAAACTTCACATTATCCCACATTATATGCCATTTGCCAACCTTTTGCTCATTCACTTATCTGATAAATATCTTTCTGTCAGCTGTTTGTATTCCTCCCATAACTTGCCTTTCCACCTATTTTGAATCATTTGCAAATTTGGCTATAGTACATTCGCTTCCTTTCTCCACGCGATTAATATATTTTGTAAACTGCCGTGGTTCCAGCACTAATTCCTGTGGAACCCCACTGGCTACAGGCTGTCAATCTGGAAAATAACCTCTTATCCATACTGTGTTTCCTGCCCATTAGCCAATTCTTTCTACATGCCAATATTCTACCTCCAACACCACTGGCTCTTATTTGATGACTTAACCTTTTGTGAGGTACCTTGCTGAATGCCTTCTGTGAGTGCAAATACAACACATCTTAGTAGATTCCCTCTATCCATTCTGGTTGAGAGATTGTTGAAAAACTCTTGACAAAATAGTCAGATATAATTTCTCTTTCGTGAAGCCATGCTTGGTCTGTTTGATATTTTTATGAATTTCCAAATGGACTGCTATTACTTACTTAATAACTGACTCCAACATTTTTCCGACAATGGATGTTAGGCTAATTGGTCTGTAGTTAGCCACTTCTTGACTCCTTTTTTGAAATGATATGTCAGGAGCTTACTAACCCTCTGGTAATTCTCCAGAATGCAAGATTTTTGGAAAATTACAACCAATGCATCTACTATTTCTGTAGCTACTTCCTTAGTTTGGTTTTTCTAATATTACTTCTCAAGCGAATATAAAGATGAGAATGTAACGTGAAAATTGCGAAGGATTCAGTCAGTTAAATGAGTGAACAACATCATGGTAGATGAAAGATAATGTGGAGAAAATGTGAAGTTACCTACTTTGGTAGGCAAAGTAGCATGTTATGTAAAAGCAAAATACTCCGGATGCCGGAAATCTGAAATTAAAAACACTAAGTTTTAGAGAAACTCAGCAGGCCCAACAGCATCAGTGGAGACTGAAACAGAGTTAACGCTCAGTCCTGTAGGACTTTGCTTCCGAAAGCCACGTTATTTAAATGGTGAATAACCTGAAAATACTGGCATTAAGACAGACCTTTGCACACAAATCACAGAGTTGACATGCAACTAAAGCAAACAAAAGTAAATATTCTACTCTGACCCTTCTGTAACAAAGCCATAAGACTGAGGAGAACGCATAAACTGTGTAAAACCTTGGTGAGACAATTTTTAGATCAGTTCGTAAAGTTTTAGGCTCCTTACCCAAGGAAGGACTTTCTTGCCTCAAGAGTGAGTGCAACAGAGGGTGATTACTGATATGAGGAGATTGATTTATGAGGAGAGTTTGAGTAAATAAGGCCTCTTTTCTGCAATGTTGAGATGTGATCTCAGTGAAGTCTTAAAATTTTGAAATGGTTGCTTCTGTAAGTGTGGGTAATCAAGAACTACAACAGTCTCAGAATGACAGTTTGGACTATTCAGGAGGAGTAGAAATTTCGTCAAACATGTTACAAATCTTTGAAATTTTTTAATCCCAAAGAGCTGCAGATGCGGAGTTGTTGAGTAAATTCAAAGCACAAATCAGTAGACTTGTAGATGGAAAGATCATATAGTGCTGAAGGGTAGAATTGAAGAAAGCAGATGATTTTAGCGAATAGTAGAGCATGCCTGAGGATTAAGTGGCAGCCTTCTGCTGTTCTGATGATCTCAAATAGAATGGATAATATATGGTGGTCATGTCATACCTATGACTAAGGACATACATAATAAACAAAGACCAGGAGTTGGAGCTCTGGCTAACATCTCATCAAATGTGAACAAGGTCAAGTGGAGCATCTCAAATGTTATCAATTAAGCCATAGCAAAACAAGAATCTGTTTTGTATCTTCCTGATCTCACAGGGAGAGAGAAAGACACAGACAGACAGAGAGGAGGAGGAAGGAAATTCAAATCAGCAACAAGTTTGTACTGGAGAAATTGATGGGGTTGACAGAAAGGTGCAGAGAGAGTTGGGGTGGCAAGAAGAAATGGATAGGGGCCGTAGGGGTAGGGCTAGACTTCCATTAGGAGATGCCTGAATTTTCAGCTCAGAGATACGTATTTACAGTTATACCTTCCTTCTAAGCCAGTGTATGGGAGGAAGCAGGCAATACAGACCATAGGGCTGACATGATCTGCAAAGTTTAAGGCACCCCACATGCATGCGGGAAATGGAGGAGAGAGAGGGAAGAAAAGAAAAAGGAGGTGAAGGGGGGAACAAAGGAAGAGGAATAGAAGGGAGAGGAAAAGGGGCAGAGATAGGTACAAGACAGGGAGCGAGGGAAGGAGCATGAGAGAGGCAAGTTATTATCACGACAATTGCTTTGGACTTCCATTCTCACCTTCTGAGTTTCACAGTTCGGCTCACAGCTGTGGTTCATGAAGCGTGAACAATTTCCTTTCAGAGTAGCATCAATGATCTAGTGAAAAGAAAAAGGAAAGCAAAAACCATAACTTATTTTCATAAATAGAAATCACTACTTGTTCTCAAAACCACAAGCAAGCAGCTGCTTATTTTACACCAGCACAAATTAAGATTCTGGCTGATTGAAAGTTAACCTTCAAATTAGGCCGATATACATGGTGCTGCCCCATCAATATTCATATCTGTTGCACTGAGTGTTGAGACAAGATGCCTGGTGTTAAAGATCTCCATGTGTCCTGGTTAACATTCTGCCCTCAGCCAGTACCAATGAAGTGTTAGATAGTGCTGGTTAGATTCGCTCAGTGCAGGCTGCAGCATTTCTAGACCCCACTCACTCCATTTGATTCACCTTGTGCAATGAACCTTTCTCTGATATGATGTCCCGATCTGCAGTTCCCAGCAACTGCAAGGAGGGTGAAAGCAGATGCAGGAGAAGCACATACAGCTGACCTGTACTCAGCATGAAGCTGAAACCCCATTTGGCAGCTGGTCAGTCCATATTTAGGGCTAGACTTCCATTGGGAGATGCCTGAATTTTCAGCTCAGGGATACGTATTTACAGTTATACCTTCCTTCTAAGCCAGTGTATGGGAGGAAGCAGGCAATATGGACCATAGGGCTGACATGATCTGCGAAGTTTAAGGCACCTCACATGCAGCAAACTAGGCATGTGGCTGATGAACAGAAATGGGTCCCTCCTGATGGTTAACATTTTACTCACAGTGTGTTAGTCGACCTGTTTGAGAGTGCTTTTTGAAGCTTCTTAGGTCGCTAAGTGCTTCGCGTGTAGGGAGTTGGGAAGTCATGTTGAGGCTGTACAGGACATTGGTGAGGCCTCTTCTGGAATACTGTGTCCAGTTCTGGTCGCCCAGTTATAGGAAGGATATTATTAAGCTGGAGAGAGTTCAGAAGAGATTTACCAGGATATTGCCAGATATGGAAAGTTTGAGTTATAAAGAAAGGCTGGATAGGCTAGGACTTTTTCCACTGGAGCGTAGGAGGTTAAGAGGCAACTTGTACAAGTTTATAAAACAATGGGGGATACAGATAGAGTAAATGGCAGTTGTCTTTTCCCTAGGATGGGGGACTTCAAGAATAGGGGTGAGAGGAGAAAGATTTAAAGAAGTCATGAGGGGCAAAGTTTTTACACAGAGGGTGGTTTGCTTGTGGAATAAACTTCCTGAGGAAGTGGTGGACGTTGGTATAATTACAATGTTTAAAAGGCATTTGGATAAAATACATGAATAGGAAAGGTTTAGAGGAATATGGGCCGGGGCAGGCAGGTGGGACTAGTTTAGTTTGGGATTATGTTTGGCATGGACTGGTTGGACCGAAGGGTCTGTTTCCATGCTGTATGACTAGAACTCTATGACTTACGCACCGATCTATGTTAAATTGTGGCTCCTTCATCATTGCTGGGTCAAATTCCTGGAATTTCCTGCCTGACAACACAGTAGGAATTCTTTCACAACACAGACCGCAAGTTTTCTTTAGGACATTTCAACCTTCTCAAGGGGGACTAGGAATAAGCAATAAATCTTGAACTTCCCAGCGACTCACATTGCAAGAATCAATTGACGTAAAAGTGACTTGCCTTGTTTCAATATATGAACATTGACTTGTGAACAGCTGCACTTTTTCCTTCCTTGAAAAGGACCTTGGTGAGCAATGCACTGATGCTTGATGCCAAGTGGAATGGTTGGGCTTGAGTTAACAACAGTGTCCAATCTCAAGGGAGGTGGTCACAGCAAGTAAACAAGCCCCAAGTAAAAAAGGTGTGACAGAGAGAGGTCAAGAACTAAAGGGCACAGTGTTTTGCAGAAGAAACAAATAAAAGGTGAGAACTAACATTTTACACAGTAAGTGGCTTGTGTTTGGAATGAGCTGCCTGGAAGTTTGGAGGAGGCAGGTTCAACTGAGGTGTTCAAGAGGGCATTAGATCATTATTTACATGGAAACTATCTGTGGGATTATGGGAAAAGCTGACAGCATGTGGCCTGAAAAGCGATTTCAGCTCGGTCAACAGTTGGGGCTGGACAGAATAGTTTTAAAGATGATGATGGCACATTCATACAGCATCTTTTACAAGCTCAGGACATCCCAAAGTTTACAGCCAATTAGGAACCTTTGAAGTGATGCCTCTGCAGTAATGTAGAGAGAGAGAGACGGTGACCTAGTGGAAACGTCACAGGACTGGCAATCTAAAGTTTTGGAGACACAGGCTTATGGCAGTGGTGGCATTTAAATTGTCTTTACTTGGTCAGGCTTACATGTGAAATCAAACCTACAGCAAGGTGGATGATTCTTGACTGCCCTGTGAAGTGGTCAGGTCAGACAGTCAGTTGAAGCAACCTGCTACAGATACGAGAATGGAATGCAGTGGTTCACAAAGGTGGCTCACCACACCTTCTGAAGGGCAATTAGGGATGGACAGTAAATGCCGGCACAGCTAGTGGTATGCCCATTCCAGGAAACAAATCAAAATTCAGCCAATTCTCACATAGCAAGATCTCACATGCACAAAAACAACTGACCAGATAATGGCCACGGAACCAGAGCAGGGAGACAGAGAACTGTGGCGATGGGAGATGATGGCCTAGTGGTATTATTGCTAGACCTGGAGATCTGACTTCAAATCCCACCATGGCAAATAGTAGAATTTGAATTCAACAAAAAAATCTGGAATTGAGAATCTAACGATGACCACAACCATTGCTGATTGCTGGGAAAACCTATCTGGTTCACTAATGCCCTTGAGGGAGTGAAAGTACCATCCTTACCTGGTCTGGCCTACAGATGGCTCCAGACCCACAGCAATGTAGTTGACTCAAACTGCCCTCTGGGCAATTAGGGATGGGCAATAAATACTGGTCTAGCTAGAGATGCCCACATCCCATGAATGGATTAAAAAAAAAACAAAAGACAGAAAGAAAGAAGAAAAAGTGGAAGGCAGAAAAGAACATGGGACCACAGTGCAAAGTAAAGCCATGATGACTAATAAGGTTAAAAAGACAAGTCTAAAGGCTTTGTGTCTTAATCTATGTAGCATTTGCAATAAAGTAGATGAATTAGCATGCAAATGGATATAAACAGTTAAGATATAGTAGCGGTTACAGAGATATAATTGCAAGGTGACCAAGGATATTCAGGATTTCATTATTTAGGAAGGACAGATTTTAAAGGGAAAGGAAATTGGGTAGCATCATTACTTAAAAATCAATGCAATAGTGACGCAGGGTATTGGCTTGGAAACCACACTGGGGTTGTCTGTAGCCTCACAAACAGTAGCGGAGATGCAAGGAAAGGCATTGAACAAGAAGTCAGAGAGTATAACTGTAATCATGAGAGATTTTAATTTACATATAAATTTCACAAACCAAGCAGCGATAATATTGTGTGGAGAAGGATTTCCTGGTGCGTGTACGCAATTGATTTTTAGACCAATATGTTGAAGAACCAACTGAAGAACAGGCTATTTGGGTACTGTGAAATGAGGATTAATTAATAACGTTGCTGTGTGGGGTTCCTTGGGGAATAGCGACTACAATATGATTGAAGAATTCTATCAGATGGAGTGAAGTAGTAATAATGATTTAATTTTTTTTAAAAATTTGGGGTCCCGAATCAGAATATAAATAAAGGAACTACAAGGTCATGCGGTGCAAATTGGCAAGGGTGGATTGGGAAACCTCACAAAAATGGTGGTGGTGGATTGGCAATGGCTAATATTTAAAACTCTCACACATGAACTACCACTATTATTCATTCCTGGCTGGAAAGGTGGTTCAACAATACCTTACAAAATAAATTAGGGCTACTATTAGATCCAAAGAGGAGACAAATAAAATTACCAGAAGAAGCAACAAGCCCGAGTATTTTTGCATTCAACAAAAGAAGGGCAAAAATAGAGGATGAAAAGTATAATTGCAGAGAATGATTATCCACTATCTTGGCAGCTATTTTCTTAAACATCATAGGATGCAACCCATCACTTCCATGGATCATCGGGCTTTTAGCCCCATTATGCTTTCTCTAGTGGTAGTTACCGTGTTTATTTTTTTCCCTTTTGCCCCTTGATTATTTAGGATTTTGGAATACTATTAGGGTCTTCTACCTTGAAGACTAACGTAAAGCATTTATTTAACTCCTCTGCCATTTCCTGGTTCTCCACTATTATTTCCAAGCCTCATTCCCGATGGGGCCTCTATACACTTTTGCCCCTCACTTCCCTTTATATATTTTAAAACAGCTCTTGGTGTCTGCCTCAAATGTTACTTACAAGTTTTCCCACAAATTTAATTTTCTGTGTTTTTATTTTATCGTTGCTTTGCTGATTTTTAACCAAAGGATTGGGAAAGTTTCATCACTAGTCTTTATTTGGCTAGGACACTGCCAGAGTTGCCTTAATCATCTTCAACATGGCATCATGGGATCATTTACATTCACCTGAGGGGACAGACAGGGCCATAATTTCACTCCTTACCCAGATGACAGCAACTTTGGCAGTGTAGCACACCTTCAGCACTGCAACGAAATTGTCAGCCTAGACTTAACACAACGATCACATCGCTGACTCATGACCTGGAGGTTAACACACTCCAGAGACTGGAGTTCATAAACAAGTCTGACACTTCAGGGGTCAGTGAGCCCACAACAAACAAAAATAATTTAACAACAGCAAAAAAAAAATGGAGAGGGATTGGAGAATTACTGCCATTTTAAAAGCTCAGAAGAATTGTTGGGCTATTGAGCCAACTGTGGTGGAATCAGAAACCATACTGGCTTTTGAAACCAAAATGGCCAACACTAGCTGGGGTCAAATGTAAAAGAGTGTGTTCAAGGAACAGAGGAAAGGGACCAATTGGTCCCTTCAGCAAATCATATACATACTGGGCCAACATGAGATAGTGCAGGGGGAAATGTGAATCACAACAAACACTGGCCAGCTGCTCACCTCATCGTTCTTCAGTGCCATGAAGTAGTAATGGACGTTTTTGTTGCGGGCATACTCCTTAACTCTCGCCTTGAATTCCTTGTGATCCAGCACTTCCCCACAGTACTCCAGTACAAAACTATTCCTGTAAAGACATAGGTTTCTTTGTTATAACAGCATTTCACTTTACTAAGCACCTAATAACCTTATTTGCCTAACAGAGGAAGGACAGTGAAGAGGACAAAACCCGAGCCCCATTTGAACATTTGGCGATTAAAGAACGATAGGTTTGGAGGTAAAGGAAGTTGGAAGCCAGAGCGGAGATGGTTGTACTGTGTAAGGGAAGATCTGAATAGCTCAATCTGAACCTCACAGCTATTAGGAGCTAAAAGCTGTTGGGAACCAGGGGACGGGCAGGGCAATGACTGGTCCTTTGTAAAAATTAAAACTATTATATCAATCAGAGATATTTAATCAGAGTGAAGAGTGTGAGCTTTCTTGAATATCCAAGAACTCAAACAACCACATAGAGATATTCGGAGGAATTCTGAACAGATAGTCACCGTGAGGAGGCTGCAAGATCTCAGAGCAATAAAATCCTGAGAGTGGGCTTATAAGAATTAGATCACTGACTCAACCATCTTGAGTTGCACCCTTTTTCTCAGGAGGATGCTCAGGAGCAGTGGGCAGTGGAGTTGTGATGGAGAAACTAGAATAATAAAAACTGGCGGTCTATTGGGGAATGCAAGGAGGAAATCCACAAATAGTGGCTGATCTGCAATAGGTCAAGTGGCATGATTGCATGTCCAATTTTAGATCGCTTACCAATTTTCAATCTGATGAATGGTGTGTATTTGGCAGGGGTGGGGACTCAATTGGTAATGATTAACTTCAGATGAAGAGTGGGTAATTGACAACTTACAAAAAAATCTCATGAGAATACACATAGCCAGCAGAATCGTATTCCTGCAAGAGGCAGGTCCATAAGTTATGATGGAATAAATTTGAAATGCTTCATTAATGCAAAGATAAATTTACTTCCACTCACACTGACAAGTCTTTATCTGTTCGCAGACCCCAGCCTTTCCTTTCGGTGAGGATGACTTCCACATCAGCATACTGCCGTCTCTGGAACCTCCGGTTTGTACAGTACTCTCCATGCAGACATCTCGACGAGCTGTGACAAGGCAACGACAACATCTAACATTACTGTTAAGTGTTATGGTGATCTTCTTTAATACATTCAAATAGGGCCATTCAGCCTAGTCACAGGGGGGTCTGAATTGGTGGCCTTTACTTCTTGATCCAGTCACACATTAGAACACCGTTTGATCACCCACAGAACATACAACAGTACAGCACAGGAACAGGCCCTTCAGCCCATCATTTCTGTGCTGATCATGACTACATAATGCATTGGTCATTGTCTCGGATATGTTCAAGTTTTCAGAACGTGCAGGCTACTGCGTACTTCTAGCCAGATTTTATGATTTTCCACTAAAGCTATGCTACCATTTAGATTTTATTATTATCTTGTTATTTCACCACTGACACAATGTCATTCAGTTTACTATCAATCTTAGTCTCATTCTATGTCCCATTTATATTGAAAATATCACCAGTCATCATACAGTCCTATTCAATCTTACATTGGTGATGCTCTATATTGATGAGCTTCCTTTACGTTGTCTGGTTGTCACACTCAACCTTCATTCGCCATACGGTGTAGAATAAATCAAGTCTCTACTGCCTTTGACATTAATAAGAATGTCTCTTTCAAAGTCACAACTTCTTCACTTCTCGCATAAGGCCAATACCAACAGTTACTTTTGCTCAATCTGACTTCATCTGATGTCACTGAAGACTTCAGCTTTTCCTGTGACCCTAAGCAGAATTCCTAATCAGCACCACGGGAACTCAGATTCATGCAATCATATAGCAGAGATCATTGTGCTACTGTCAGATTGCTGCAAACGTGATCCAATTGATCTCAGTCATGTACTTGCTCCTTACATACGGATCAAAAATCTCCTCCAGCACATCTCTTATATTAGTTGGATACACTACAGAGGGATTCACACAGACTCGGATTTCTTTATCTTGTCTACATTTTAATGTGCACAACTACAGTAAGCGTTCTTCTCAAATTTCTTCCCTTGATCCGTCCTAAGTTCCAAATTTGATGCCTAGGTACAGTCTGCTTTAACACCACTTCACAGGATCATAAACCACAATCTTCATCTCCCCCACACTTCAGTTCCTTAACAGACACAACGTCTGGGTGATGAAATATCACAATATATTAACGTTACTTGGGAACTTGGGGTCTGTACTGGAGGAAAATGGAATTTACAATGAACATAGAGTCATACAGTGCAGAAAAGATCCTTTGGCTGAAAGTCTGACTTGTTTCTTATATCAGAAAAAAGGCCAGTAGGTTATTTTGAACAGAACTTAAAACATCATTTACAAGAAATCATTTACTTTTACCTAAGTGACCATCAAGCCACCTGGGAGACAATTACTAAGACTTTGAAGTCTTGAGTTTAGGACCTTCTGACAGAGTGGGAGGGTGCCAGAAGCTGGCTCATTCAGAAGCAGCAGCATAACAGCAGAGGTCTCCAAGTAGTCAAGGCTAGGGAGAAGTTCTGAGATAATAAGGGGAAGAGAGCTCCAAAAGCAGAAGGCTGTGGAGGTATCAGGGAGGAATGCATCTTACAAGGCTGTTGAAGATACAAAGTTTAGGAATATTATATTCCCCTCCCCTCCCTTATCAGCCTTTCAGAAGGACCATTCCCAGGTCCACTCCTCCTTCACTCCCAAAAGCTCCCCCCAGCACCTTCCCTTGCAACTGCAGGAGGTCTAACATCTGCCATTTACCTCCTCTCTCCTCAGTATCCAAGGGCCCAAACATACCTTCCAGGTGAAGCAGCACTTTACCTGTACCATTCGCAGCTCACAATGTGGTCTCCAATGTGGAAACAAGTGTAGACTGGGTGACTGCTTCACAGAATACCTATGTTCTGTCGTCAAAAAAGACCCTGAGCTTCCAGTTGCTGAACTTCGACACACTACCATGTTCTCTAGCCAACATCTCTCTCAGACATGTTGCAGTGCTCCAGGGAAGCTGGAAGAAAGGCACCTCATTTTCCACTTGGGAACTCTACAGCCTTCTTGGTTCAATGTCGAGTTCAACAATCTTAGAACTTGAGGCACCTTCTCCCAAGTCCCTTACGCACCAGGCCTTGTTATCACATGGTCTGCTTTTACACACAACCCATTGTTAGCCATTAATAGTTCCCATTAGTAGCTATTCATTCTCATAGCCAGATTGTTATCAACTCCTTTGTCTGCCTAACTGTTCTCCTCTCTCTTTGGGATCCATCTCCACTTATCGCTTATTCCGTAACGCCCTTCCCCTAACCTATCTTCTGTTTAAAAAACATTTTCCTGGCTACCATCAGTTCTGAAGAAGAGTCACTGGACCCAAAACATGAACTCTGATTTCTCTCCACAGATGCTGCCAGATCTGCTGAGCTTTCCTACAATTTCTGTTTTTGTTTTTAAGAGTTCTTGTCTCATGTGATGCGTTTTTTTTAAAAAAAATCTTGTCATAAATTTGTAATGAACTTTTATGATTGTCTTTAAAAGTACATCAAAAGCAATTTGTGATTATATTCAGTGACTGATGCCCATAGTAGATAAAAGGTAAAATTTATGATCTTTCAAGCCAATATTAACATTGACCTTTCCAATATTATCGTCAGTTGGGATCATAACAACTGGCATCTTCTAAAGTGACATATTTTGCTACTGTTGACACTGCCGATGTCCTACACTGAGCACTTCGAGTTCTCAACAGACACAAAAAAACCAGTCTTGCAAATGATGAACCCTCTCGGGCCCATGTGGTTTCGCCTTCTGCATCTAGCTGGTTGTATTTTACTGCAATGCTTCTCTAAATGCCCATCAAAAAGTACCATAGAGACTCTAAAGGACTTAGCGATTAGGGATTATGAAAGTTCATCCCGGTCCTTGGCCGCATCACAAGTCAATGGGAAGGCACTTACCATTCTATCATGAGTAACCTGTTGAGACAGTCTTCACCACACGCCAGCTCTCCTCGTTCTCGGTCTTCTCTGGATAGTAAACATTCACACTGCATGCGCTTGATGTCACGGTGCGACTTACTTTTCTTCCTGTAAGTAGTAAATTTGTTTAATTAAGACATGGTAATACATGGCTCAAGCCAAGCCAAACTTCGTGAATAAGCATTTTAATTACAGTAGTTTTGAACAACAACAGTCTATTTGTCCTTAAGAATTAGCTGTAGGAACAACCTGGAAGAGACAGAGACAATTTAAATGCAAAGCACTGAGGAACAGAGAGCACATCCATCCAAAGGACCAACAGCAGCCTACTCAAGCACTCATTATCACTTTATCCTTTAATATCCTGACCAACAAAAACAATCTGAACATTTCAATCTGTCCAGCATTCACCGGTGAAGCCAGGGAAGCTAAGTCAAAGCTAATACTGCAAACCAAAAAATATGAAATGCTAATATAGTGGAAATATACTGAGCTCAGTCAGTAGGCCAACGATCAGAGTATCTTCACTTTAGCGCACTGATCTAAAATTTCTTGAATGCTTAACTTTTTATCCTGAGTTTGCAAATCTTGTCCATCGCTAACAGTTACCTGATCTCTGTGAAGCCCTTCCTACCAGAAAAACCATTTGAAATACATCCTTCACATATTTGTGTCTTGCCCTCCAATTCTCTTCCTCTTTGCTGTATCTGCCAGTCTGTTTTCAACTACCTGTTCTTCTAATTCACTGACTACTGCTGCATTAATCTTCTCTCGTCTTCATGAAGTTTTAATGCGCTGTATAAATTTTCTCTCCGTCAGTCTCAATTGATACCTCTCGTCACATATCTGTCCTTGTTTCAACTTTCCTAACTCTTCCTTCTGTCACTTTCTTTTTCCTCACCTGTCTCTTCCCTTTAAGTACAAAGGATGCAATCTGAAACAATACAATGACAACTGGTTCAATCATTCATTGACAAGTCTGGCTGGACACATAAAACGTGAGTAGACCTTGTTCAGCTTCATTGCTTTCAATTTCACTCCTAGTCTTTGATAAGGTGGCTGCCAAAACTCACTTTCATAGCCACATCTCCTTCCCTCAGTGAAGTTCTCTAGTTCTGACTTATCCCATGTGGATTCCAACTGAGATCCATCCTGCGGATCTATCCAAGTGCACAGGTACCTCCGTGGCCTACTAGGCTCCTCTGACTGCTGGTCTTGGAGACAGACAGACACACACACACAGCTATCTCCAGGAGAACTGTTTTGCTCTATCTAGAAACTTCCCTCCTCCACATGAGACACATGAGACAAATGCAAGGAGCAAAAAACACCTCCCTTTCTTTCAGATGTTAAGGAAAACCAGCTCTAACTCTGGGTACCAAGACCCATCCAGACCTTTCTTTCCCTTCACTACCCTCCAATCCCAGCCCCTCTGCTAATCCCACCACTTGCCATGTTTGACAACACTGTCTGACCTTCCCATCCAGGCTGCATGATTTATGCTTGGCAAAAGACTAGTTTTATCTTATTACGTTTCCACTTTAATTTGACCTTGGTATAATATTGAACTCATCTCTGTCATGTTCACACCTATGCCCAATTCTTTGCCTAGGGGTCCTTCCCCTGACCAGCAGTCCCTTTCACCTCCCTCCATCATGACCCCACCCCTGGTCTCTGACCTATTCTTGATCTTTTCTTTTGAGCGCTATTGGTGTGACATAAGCAATCTTATATTTTAAAAATCACCTTCTTTGCCAAGCTCCCCCTTTAGACACTCTGCCTAGACTCCCTCTGAATTTGCAGCACTCCATTCTCTCAGGTCTAACCCTGAAACGGTTATCAAATCAGTTTCATTGGTGGCTTATTCTCTGGTGTAATGACCTCAATCTTGCAGGGACTGGGAGGCAACTTTCAGACACTTCTGAACTTCTACCTCCTTCCCAAAATCCATCTTTCACATTAATGCTTCTGATGAATTTTTCCTCAACTTTTGGATGTTCTTCTTCCACCATGGGTTGACACAGCCCTCAACCTTGTTTGACCCATTTCTCACATTCTGTTCTCATCCTTTCCTCCTCCCTCCCAGAACCACAATGGATTCACCTTGTTCCCAGTTTCCACGTCACCAGCCTCTTTAGTTAAGGAGGCATCCTCTGCCATTTCTGCTACTTCTAGCATTCACACCTTGCCCTCCATGTTAGCGTTCTGATGGATCTACTCCACTCCACAACTACTCCCAGTCATCTCCATGGCACCTGTCCATGCAATTGCAGGAGGAGCAACAACTGTCCTTTTAACCAATCCCCTCTCCTCACTGTCCAAGACCTGAAACACTCCTTTCAATTTAACCCCATATTGACTGCTCACACTACTGTCGTCTCCAGTCGGAAGGCGAAATGCAGACTGGGTGACTGCTTCAAGGAACGCTATTACTCAGTCTGCAAGCATGAAGCCAAGCTGTTAGTTGTCCGTTATTTTAATTTGCCACTTTGTTCTCATTCTCACATTTTGTCCTTGGCCTGCTGCAGCTGAATGCATCCTAAAAGCTTCTTCTACTTTACAGCCTTCTGGTCTCAAAATAGAGTTTAACAACTTCAGACCACAAATTCTCCTCCCATTTTGATTTTTTTTTTGTTGCATGCTGTTCTGGATCTTGCTCTTCATGTTTTTGCTTTAGACCAAGTTATTCATTATTTTGGCTTTCAGCCCTAATCTGGACAAAATCGGTCTATCCCAATCTTAAATATAACCTGGGGCAAAGAATTCCAAAGACTCCCAATCTTTTCAGTGAAGAAATTCATCCTCACGCTAGTGCCAAATGACTGCTTCCTTATCCTGAGATTGTGTGCTACCTTGATCCAAATTTTCCCAGCCAGAGGAAACAATCTCAACGCCTAGCCTAATTAGTTCACATACCATTTCCTTTACTAATTACTTCCTGCACCTGAAACTAATGTAAGATAACAAGGTGTAGAGCTGGATGAACACAGCAGGCCAAGCAGCATCAGAGGAGCAGGAAAGCTGACATTTCGGGCCTAGACCCTTCTTCGGGGATGGGGGATGGGGAGAAGATAGGTGGAGAGGAAACAGACAGGTCGAAGAGGCGGGGATGGAGCCAGTAAAGGTGAGTGTAGGTGGGGAGTTAGGGAGGGGCTAGGTCAGTCCAGGGAGGACGGACAGGTCAAGGGGGCGGGATGAGGTTAGTAGGTAGGAGATGGGGGTGGGGCTTGAGGTGGGAGGAGGGGAATAGGTGGGAGGAAGGACAGGTTAGGGAGGCGGGGTCAAGCTGGGCTGGTTTTGGGATGCGGTAGGGGGAGGGGAGATTTTGAAGCTTGTGAAGTCCACATTGATACCATTAGGCTGTAGAGTTCCCAAGCGGAATAGGAGTTGCTGTTCCTGCAACCTTCGGGTAGCATCGTTGTGGCACTGCAGGAAGCCCAGGATGGACATGTCGTCTGAGGAATGGGAGGGGGAGTTGAAATGGTTCGCGACTGAGAGGTGCAGTTGTTTAGTGCGAACCAAGCGTAGGTCTTCTGCAAAGCAGTCCCAAGCCTCCGCTTGGTTTCCCCGATGTAGAGGAGGCCACAACGGGGAACAGCGGATGCAGTATACCACATTGGCAGATATGCAGGTGAACATCTCCTTTCCACCTATCTTCCCCTCTATCCATCTTCTATCCGCCTCCCCCTCTCTCCCTATTTATTTCAGAACCCCCTTCCCCTCCCCCATTTCTGAAGAAGGGTCTAGGCCCGAAACGTCAGCCTTCCTGCTCCTCTGATGCTGCTTGGCCTGCTGTGTTCATCCAGCTCTACACCTTGTTATCTCAGATTCTCCAGCATCTGCAGTTCCTACTATCCCCGAAACTAATGTTTTGTGTTCCTAATGAGAGCACACCCAAGTCTCTCTGAACATCAACATTTATAAGTACCATGCTTTTCAAAGTAATATTTTGCTTTCCCATTCTCCAAAGTACCTCCTTTCCTACATCATACTGCAACTGCTGTCTTGCTGCCTACTCATTTAGCCCATTTTTTAATATATATATATTTGCACGCTTTGTATACTTTTGTTGCCACCTTGTTAATCAGTCAACAAGTTTCTTGGAAATCTATATTTCAATCTCTCCAATCAGGTTTTGTCTCTGTCACAGGATCAAGCCAACTCTTAAAATCACGAATGCCTTTCCATGTGATTGTGAGAAAGGGAAATGTGCCCACATCATTCCTACAGCCTTTTTCATGGTTAGCCACACTATCCTCCTCTAATGCCTCTCTGCTGACGAGCTGGCCAAGACTGGTTCCAAACTTATCCATTTAGTCATACCCAAAGTATTGCTTGCAATGGTTTTGCTTCCTGTTCCCGTACAATTAACTCGGATGCTCTCTAAGCATTTACCTTTGACACTCTCTTCCTTCTCAATAACCTGTTGTCCTGGGTGACATCCAAAAATAGTGCCAGTATTTACATGCATACTCACAACATCCAGATCCATCTCACTGCCATCCCCAACTCTTTCACTGTGGCTAAACCGAGAATGAATGTCCAACCAGATGAGCAGAAATCTCCTCAAATTCTATACTGAGAACACTGAAGCCATCATCTTCAATCCCTGGCACAAACTCTATTCACCAAATACAAATTTCATCTCTCTCTCTGGTGATTAACTGAGTCTGAACCAGACCGTTTGCAACCTTCACACCAGAAGTGAGGTTGAGATGAGACTCTGACCACATAGCTGGGTCATTGCTATGACTGCATGTTTTCCACCTTCATAATTACTTGACTCTGCTCCAGCTCAGCTCATCTGCTGAAATTCTTATTTGTGTATTTGTTACCAATAGACTTGACTATTTTAACGCAATACAGGTTGGTCTCCCAAATCCTACCTTCCAAACTCCAAAACTCTTTGCTGTATCCTTTCACAGCAAGTGCCATTCTATATCACCACTGACTTAAACTGGCCCTGCTGCAGTTTTAAAATTCTCATTCTGGTTTTCAAATTACTCAAATGGCTTCAGTCCTCTTATTTCTAACCTCCTTCAGTCTTACCATCCTCCAATATCTACACTTGTCTACTTCTGACCTGGAGTAACTCCGAAATTAACTGCTCCCTCACTCGAGGCCATGCTTTCAGTTGTCGAAGCCCCAAAATCCAAAATATTCTGCCTCCGAGTTCTCTTTCTTCCCATAAAATCCACTTCTTAGGCTATTCTTTTGGTCATAGAATCACAGAATCGCTACAGTGTGGAAACAGGCCATTCAGCCCATCAAGTCCATACTGCTCCTCTGAAGAGCATCCCTCCCAGACCCATTCCCCTAACATCTGCCCTAACATTATCCTATGCAACTGAATGTCAAACTTTGCTTTATAACATTAAACAGAACCAGGAAATAGGATCATAAGTAAGCCATTTGGCCCTTCAAGCTCTGCTCTGCCATTCATCATTATCATGTTTGCTCATGGCCTGTTCCTGATTTTCTCCCCTATCCTTTGATCCCTTTAGTCCCAAGTGCTACAACTAACTTCTTGAAATCAGTGTGTTCTGGCTTTGACTGCTTTCTGTAGTAGCGAATTCCACAGGCTCACCACTCACTGGCTGAAGAAATTTCTCCTCAGCTCAGTCCTAAATCCACAGACTGTACCCCCTGGTTGCAGACTCCCTTGACATCAAGAACATCCTTCCAGAATCTAAGCTGTCTTGCTGATCTGAGGAAGGGTCACCAGACCCAAAACGTTAACTCTGGTTTTTTTCTTCACAGATGCTGCCAGACCTGCTGAGCTTTTCCAGCGACTTCTGTTTTTGTTTCTAAGCTGTCTAGTTCTGTTAGAATTTTATAGGTTTCTACAAGATCCCCCCTCATTCTTCTAAACTCCAGCAAACATAATCCTAATTGATTCAAACTCTCCTCATACTTCAGTCCTGCTACCCCATGATCAGTCTGGCATACCCATGCTGCACTCCCTCTATTGCAAGAGCATCCATCCTCAAATAAGACAACCAAAACTACACACGTTATTCCAGGTTTTGTCTCACAAAGACCCTGTGGAATTGCACAAGACATCCCTGCTCCTTTACTCAAATCCTCTATCTATGGTACATACATTTGCCTTCATGATCATCATGCTTGCCTATTTCCCTCTCTCAATTTATAGCCAGATAATAATCTGCCTTCCTGATTTTGCTACCAAAGTGGATAACCTCACACTTAGCCACATTATACTGCATGTCAGGTGTCTGCCCACTTATTCAGCTTGTCCAAATCACAGTGAAGCGTCTCTGCATTCTCCTCACAGCTCACCCCTCCACCCAGCATTGATGTGAGTTGCCTTGGGAAGTTTTCCTACTTTAAATAATTCCAGACTGTTGTTACTGGATGTACATATATTTAATTTCTTCATCTCCATTTGTACTCCTTATCTGTGTGAATCACTGCATGACTCATTAGGAACCTCTAGTGGCAGGAACATGTAACAAAGAATTATTGAACAATTAATGAATAACACAAAAAATACCTCAATTGATTTGCCATAGTACTATAGGCAATTTGCTTAGAGTGGACATGGTGGGGTGAGCATGCAGGGATGTGGTACCTAATGATATCTGATGATAAGGGAACGGGGTTGAAGGACGGCAAGGTCATTACAATCCCATCCTCCCTGTATGGTTGAGAAAGGGACAGTATTTAAGAAGGGGCAGCAGCACTGTGCACCTCCATGATGTTTTCTAAATAAAAACACAAAAGTTGAAAAAAAAAACTAAAAAAGGAGAGATTCTGCTCCATATTGCCCCATGGAGAACAACATTAACTACACTTGGTGTCAACTCTGACTCAATGGGAACAGTGAGCCATCAGGCAGAAGGTTGTTGGTTTGAGTCCCAATTGTCATATTTTAGCACAAGTGAAGCTTCCCTACCTCTGGACAAGAAACACCAGGTTCAAGTTCATCCGCACCATGGTGTACCATTGTGCCCAAAACAGAATTCTTTTCTATAATCTAGAATGATACTATTGCGCAGTTCAGAGGGTTGCTGCACTGTTGGAAACATTAACCCGAGGGAGCATTTTTCCTTTCAGAGAGAGATATAAAATGCCCAGTAGCACTATTTGAGGAAGAACATGGGACTTCACCCCAATGGCCTGGCCGGTAGTTATCCTTTCACCAACTTCACTGATAAAAAAAAATTACTACATTTCTGTTTGTGGTACTTGATGCATGCAAAGTTACTGCACTTCAGTTGGTTATAAAGTACTTTGGGAGGTCGTGAGGTCATGAAGTTACAGTTACAGTTCCAACCTATCAGCGGAGAAAGTACAAGCTCAAATTCAACCATGTCACCATGAATTTGTGGGATGGCACCAGGGTGGTCCGAATGGTGAAGATAACCTGCTACATTTACCTGATCTGCGCGCACTTCTTTTATGCCACAATTTCTTCAAAGGGGAAGGATTACTACTACCATCTCAGGACAGAGTGGGATGAACAATAAATGCTATGGCAATCTTGTCTGTGTTGCCTAGTTCCAAGAATTAATTTAACGTTATCATCTTGCACTGTTTCCCATTATGATAGAACAGTATTTGCAGGTAATTGGATCGGTTTTCTCTAACTGCCAATGCGACTACTAGTGATCGCCCTATTTTCACACTAAAGTAAACAAGGCAGCTTGTCTCCTCATCTTACTAATATCCCTCAGTTCTGGTATAATTCTGACAAATCTCATCTGCATTCTCTACAAGGATTGTGATATCCTTCCAAAAACGTATCTAGAATTAACATAATTTTATATCTGTTCCGTAAACGATCACTGATAAAGGTTTATAGATCATAGAATTCCTACAGTGCGGAAACAGGCCCTTTGGCCCAACAAGTCCACACCGGCCCTCAGAGCATCCCACCCAGACCAATCCCCCTATAACCCACCTAATTTACACATCCCCAAACACTACAGGCAATTCAGCATGGCTTTGCCTCACAACAAGCCTGTGAAACTGGCTGAAGAGACACATCCTTTGGCACTCTACAGAATCTTGAAGATTTGCCCTTGTCAGTGTGGGAGGCAAAAATCACCAGAATGGGGCCTTACTGTCAGTAATCAGTCCAGGCATACTCTAAAAACTGAGGGAAAGTGACTTTCAATGATCAATCGACATGATGACACAATGTGAAGAAGTCACACCCGGGTGACTTTAGATGTTTTCCTGATATCACTGTCATCCTGTGGGGTTAGGCTGACAAGAATCAAAGCTTACACTTGGTCAAGCATAACTTCCAGTAAGGATACACCAATAATCTCCATTAATGTAGAATTTTAATTATTTATTAGTTTAAAAAAAAGTATTTAAAAGTTGTTACCTCTCTGTCAAATACAAATTCTCTTCAATTAGCTCAAAGTAAGGCGGCATCAATCCCAACTTTGACTGTTCCTTCCACCACTGAGTGTTTTTGAAGTCTTCCATCTTGCACACTAGTGTGACCCATTCTTTGCAGGGCAACATGGGGCGTGAATCAAGTTCGGTGTTCACCTGCTCACAGTCCCGTGTGTCAGTATCACTTTCCAAGTCAGTGTCCACGTCCTCTTGCTGTGCCTTCTGGGAGTCCCCCTGGTCATCTTCCAACCTTTTCTCTGACCCTTTGACCCTCGGCTCTTTATCTGCCGTTGAGTCGCTGGCCTTCAGCACCAGAGTGGTCCCCTTACTAGAATTGCTGGTTATTTCATGAGCTTGTAGAGAGCTTACACCTTTGGCAACAGTCCGTGGGTCTCGGGTCACAGCCTCCCAGGTATCATAGCTTGCAAAGTCATCGGTCATAGAGTCAGGCTGCACCTGACCTTGAACATCTGAGCCAGAAATATCTTGACTCAACTGACAACTGCTATACAATGCTGACTTGGAGTGTAACCTGGGATCCCAGTAATTGGCTTTGCTATCTTGCCAGCAACTACTTTGGTCACGTAAGTCTGCTTCTTCTGTTTGATTTTCATATTTCAGACACAGTCCATAACTGCTATCCGGTTGTTGGCAACTGCTGCTTGGCTTCTCTGGCTGACAGAGGTCCCAGTCATGGCTGTCAACAACACACTCTGGACTGCAAAGCGACTCTTCATCTCGGGCCTGCTGTTGCAACCAAGGCACGGCTTGCCCACTGTCTGGCTTTTCTTTGAGGTTTTTCTCTAACCTACTGGACGGCTGAGCAATGCTCTCTCCAGACGCAGGACTGTCCAAGTAGCTACCAGGCAGCTGGTGATGGTGGTGTTCTGCAGATCCATCCACATGTGGAGACTCTACAGACCCAGGTTTTTCATCCAGCCGTGGGAGCCGATTTCGGTCTGGTGAAAACCTATCAGGCTGACTGGTACTATCTGCCTTGTCACTTGACAATTGCTGTTTGTTGCTTCTGCAGGCCTCAGTAATGGGGGAGATCTGACTTGAAGAGGCCTGTGGTGGGTCCTCTCCTGCTGTAAGGGAGAATAACAGGCTGTCCTGAACCACTTCTTCACCGGGAACCTGGCCACCAGCTAACTCCTGGGGGTCACTTCCAAGTTGAATACTGCTTGGTTGATGTCCTTGACTGGATTTCTCTTCTGCTTCTCTCTGACCTCCTTCAATGCTTGACTGCTTCTTTTCCTGATGGTTGCTTCTGGTAGATGAAGAGGATGATGAAGGAGAGGATGACAAGCTCTTCTCTAATGTTAACGTAGAATTCTTGGGAATGATCACAACAGACTGCAAACGGTTCCTGGGAACTCCACTATCGTCAGAATCAGAGCTTGTTTCACTTTCTTCACTCTCCTGTTCACTGCTACTCTTGACAACCTCTAAGCCTTCTTCATTTTCAGAGTTTGCATTGCTGTATTCTGTCTTCATGCAGCTACTATCACAATCAGATTTGGTTTTGTAATTCTGTAAACTACGCTCTGCTTCATTTGAGCTCGGCAGGTTGGTCACACACAAAGGTAACGGTCTTTCAGTGGCCACCTCCCCAGCCAATTCATCATCGGTCTCTTCATCAACTGGAAAGATTTCCATTGATTGCTCTGGCTCTACTTTAACAGAACTATCTGGCCTGGCAGAGAAAGACATACCTTCATTATTAATTGACAGATTTTGGGTCCTCACTTCTGAAGACTCCTGCATTTCAGAAGCAAGGTGGCTGGCCAAATCTGTGTACAATCTAACCTTCTCAAACGAATCCCAATTCTGGTCGCTAACATCTGCATTTGGTTTATTTTTGCAATTCTGGAACAGTCTATCTTGCTTCAATTTATCTCCTTCACTGGTTTGTTGCTCTCTTCGACTATCAACGTCCCTACTTTCTGTTGGTTTGTCACCAATGTGCTTAGCTTCATTTGTGCAACTTTTGGCATTAGCCAAAACAGTCCTTGCTACATCTAAATTTGAATGGGACATGGATGCAGCTTCATCCTGTTTGGGACAGGGCAAAATCTCCTTCTCCTTGGTGTGGTGCCAAGTGCTGAATTGCTCCAGTTTTGGGTGGGCCAATTCAGAGCTGCAATGAGGGGAGGTATTCAAATCCTTAATTATGAAAGGGGGCATGGACAGCAATTCATTTGATACAGAACGAGAAGAAACCATCAAATCAACTTTGCAATGAGGTAAAGATCCCTGTTCTTCCTCTGATTCTGAGTAAGATGAAACCTTTGCTAAGGGTCTATCTAATTTAGAATTAGGCGAATTTCCAGCTACATCAGTCGTGAATCTTGAGTGGCAGAACACCCTTGGTAAATCTGATGTGGAATATGGCGAAGTGCTTACATAATTGTCCGATTGGTGATCAAATGAGGAACAAATCTGATCTGATCTAGAGATAGTCTGTATTGTTCCTGACATGTGCAGTTCAGGAAACTCTCTGAATTCATCTTCTGACTCAGAACATGAAATCCTCCTTAATTCCTTGTCAGATGTGTAAAGAGGCAAAGTCCTCAATTTACAGGACCTGGAACTAGATACAGGTATCCTCGAATTCCGGTCTAATGTACAGCTTTTCCAAGAGTCCAATTTGAGATCAGGTTCAGAGGATTCCATTTTAACTACTTCCGTTTCGTAGCAAGTAGCTGAATTACAATGAGATTGGGTTACAACTGAGTTCTTGTCAAACCTGTTTGTCCATGGGTCTAAAGTTGGCTCTGCAAAGTCCATTTTAACTATTCCCATTTCATAGCAAGTAGTTGACTTAGAATGTGATAAAGCTACCATTGAATTCTTATCTAGTCGACTTTTAGTCCAAGAGTCCAATTCTGGGTCGGAAGACTCCATTTTAACTACCTCCATTTCACAGTAAGTAGTTGATTTAGAATGTAAAGGTGATATCCTTGAATTAATATCTGTATTGTGGCTGCCTCTGGAATCTGATTCTAGCTCTGGGCAGTCACTTTGAGCAATTCCACAAGTGGATAACTTGGAATGAGGTGGAAGTGTCTTGGTGGTACTGTCCAATTTAAAACATTTTAAGTCCATTTCTAACTCAGGAGAATCCCTCTTTACTATGACTTCATGGCAAGAGGTTACAGATTTGGAATGAGATGTACTTGTCCTTGGAAGAGCATCGGATTTGGTAATTTTCCTGCAATCTAATTCCAGGTCAGATGAGTTTGTTTTAACTACTTCTGGTTTATGACAAGAGGTTGATGACTTTGTATGAAATGAAGATACCTTTGAATGACTGTCCGATTTGGACAATTTCCTGGAATCTAACTCTGGTTCAGGAGAATTAATTTTGGAGATTTCTGACTCGTGACAGGAAGCTGATGCTCTAGAAATTTTCTCTGCTTTAGAATGAAATTTAGTCCTTTTAGACTCTCTTTCCGACTCAGAGCAAGATGAAGTTGCCCTCAGATCTCTGTCGGATCGTGATTGGTACTTGCGAGAGTCTTTATAGGATTTAGAACACAATGAAGCCCTTCTCAAGTCATTTGATCTAGGATAATATCTTCTAGAATCTTCTTCAGAATCTGAACAAGAGGAAGCATCTCTTAAATCTGACACCAATTTGGAACGAGAAAATTTGCTCCTTTCTGAGTGAGGTGAGCTTCTACGATATCCTCTATCCTTATCACGGTAATAAGAGGTCCTTGAACGATCCGATTTTGAATAAGAGGGTACCCGCGAGTCTCTATCAGAACGGGATCGAGAAGAACTGACCCTTTCCTCTCTTCCATACTTCGAGCGCGTTGAAGCCCTTCTAACATCTCGATCAGACTTGGAACGGCCACTGCTCCTCTTATCCCTGTCAGACTTGGCATGAGAGAACGCTTTTTCAACGTCATCCACTTTGGAAGAAGTTGGATTTTTCTTAACATCTCGATCGGATTCAGTGTTTCTTATTTCTTGCGATCTCCTTAATAAATCCCCATCAGACTCAGAGCCAGCTGATTGTGCATGCACTGCTTCTTCTGCTTGGGTAACCTTCCTAAGCTCATCGTTTTCCGAAGATGAGGAAACATTCTTAAATTCCTCCAAGTTATCACCCTTCCCAATGTGGGATGTACTGAGATTCTGTTTTGATGGCTTTGGTTCAGCAGCCACCTTTATCACAGTTTCCGTTCCTCCTGTACAATCTTTCTTAGCGGCTACATCCACAGGTTCCTCCACTGATGAGCTGCACAGTTCCCTGTCTGGCAAACCTGCCGGTTTAGCTGCATCGGTGAGATGCTTCTTCTTGAAATGTACCTTACTCCACTCTACCTTGGATTTTGGTGGTGAGGTAGTGGTCTCAGTAGCATCAGCTGAATCAGAGTCACTTTTATTGTCCTGGCTCCCTTTCACCGAAATCGGAGGCAATGTCAGAGGGGGAATCTTGACTTCATCCAGTTCACTCCCAATGGCACTTTGGAACCTATTCCGTAAAGTCTTTGTTACGTTGAAGGTAAAAGACACTTTCTGTCGCCCTTGATCCTCCAGGTTGACTTTTGCCTTGGTGCCCTTGGGTAGAAAGCGACTACAGCCTTTTGTCACTTGACTCTTGAGAACATTCAATACCAATGGATTCTCTGGCTTGACCTGCAATGGTATTACACAAACGTTAGGTACAGCTCAGTAAGGTCATGTGCAGCTCATTATAATTCAATCTTAAGTCAATCAAGGTAGCAGGTATTTAAGACACATGCAAGAACAGGTCACCCAAAGCTCCATGTCTGTGATGATTTTGCTCACTTAATTACCCATGAGGCATAGAGAGTCCCTGCTCTGAATGGCTATCTTGTGATTACCCTGCTAAAAGAAGTGGATGTGGACAGACATCAGCCAAGGGCAGGATTGTGCACAGTGGTGATGCACCCTACGTGCACTCAGTGTCTCAGCCTTGACCCAAGGACTGATCAACTAGCTGAGGAACTGGAAAATAACGCATGACAACAACAGCCTACGCAATGAAGAGGAGTCAGGCAGGGTAACATATATGGCATATTTCCCCCTTCATGATTTTGGGGATGGAGAAGATTTCTCATTGCTTGTCTGGCTAACATCAATTGACGCCGCACAGTCGAGGGCAGAACCTGGAGCATCTGAGCAGCATTTATGAATTACTTGTTTTAAGCAAATAAGAATGTAAAGCCTAAAAATAATTCAAAATAAGAAACTGATGTAATTCTAACTCATCCAAAGACCTCACTCGGGAGATTAAAGAATGGCTGATAAGGAAAATGGGAAAGTGCAACTTTGCAACTTTCCAGAGTCAGAAGATTGTGACTTGAAATGCCACTTCAAGACAGGAGCATTTAATTCAAGTCAACACTCGTGGAGACATAGTGAGTGTTACATGGTCAGAGGTGAGGGTCATACATTCGGGCATTAAACCAATGGTTCATCTGTTCTTTCAGGTAAACATTAAAAGATCCCACGGCACAATTTCAGAGAAAGAAGTTCTCCAGTTTCCTAGATACCATTCTCCTTTAAATAACACATTAAAAATATATGTCATTACTGATTAATCTTTTATGGAACCTTTAGGTACCCAAATTGGCTGGTTTCCTTCCATTGAAAGGTAATTTGTTGTATGTGAAGGGAAGGAGTAGCACAGTGATAATGTCACTGGACTAGTAATCTAGAACCCCAGGGTAATGTTGGAGTCATGGGTCCAAATCACTCCAGGGCAGATAGTGAAACTTGACTTAAGTAAAAATCAGGAATAATTGGTTTATATAACCAGCTGATCTAATGGTGACCATCGTTGATTGTGGGTAAAAGCCCATCTAGTTCGAATCCATACAGGTAAGGAAATCTGCCGTCCTTATCTGGTCTCATCTACTCCAGACCCACAGCAATCTAGGTCTTAGCTGCCTCTGGGCAATTAGGGATGAGTAAAAAGTGCTGGCTTAGCCAGCGAATCCACATCCCATGACAAAATAAAGATTTGTTTTTACAATTTTGACAAATGACTTAAAATACTACATAAATTTAAAATTTCTTTAGCAGTTCAGGTACCTTGACAGGACAATTCTACGTAAGTTTGGATATCTAACCCATGCTGGGAGTTTTACTCCATATCCAACCTGCTCTACTGACCCTGGGAGTGTGTTTGGTGCACATAAATAGAGCTTTGTTGTGTACCAATGGCATACCTGCCCTGGGAGCATTTAATAGGTTAGCATCAAGAGAGAACATAGCTTTGACCCTGGCTGAACATTTCCATGATTTCAAGGCATAATCACTGACATATCCAACACACAGATTTACCAAAAAGACCATTAAAAAGTAGGAACAGGAGTAGGTCATTCGGCCTCTCGAGCCTACTCCGCCATTCAATAGGATCATAGCATGTGAGACTCGTGGCTTCCTTCCCACACTTTTCTTGTAACTCTTGACTTCCCTACTGATCAAGAATATTAGCCTTAAATATACACAAGGACTCTACCCTTACAGCTCTCTGTGGCAAGGAGTTCCAAAGACACTCTCCGAGAGAAGAAATGCTTCCTTATCGCAGTCTCAGAATAAAGGGGTGCCAATTTAAGACTATACCCTCTGTTCCTAGATTCTTCCAAGTAGGGAGCTATTCTCTCAGAATTTACCGTCGAACCCCTTAGGAATCCTATATGTTTCATTGTTATCACCTGTCATCTTGCTAAACTCCAATGAGAAAAGTCCCAACCTGTTCTTGCTTTGATGAACACAAGGACAATTATCCCCCTCAAAAAATGAAAAATTCCCCAGATATCCATTAATTCATTTTACATCCCACTACAGCCAGGTTTCCAAATTTGACTAAACCTTAAAACTGGCCAAATCTTTTTCAATGAAGGGGCAAAAACAGACCAATCTCTCTGTCTCCCCAACACAATGATTAAATAACAATTAATTGAACATTATTTAACTCTTACAGCATTCTCGTCTTCTCTGTTGCAGATGACCAAGCAAGCCATGAAAGAAAAGGGAAAAAAGCACAAGGTTAGAAACTGCTTCACATAAAAAGAGGCAAAATGATAATGACAGAAGCATCACGGCCAAACTGACTGCACTTTGCCTTGTTCTCCTAGAAGCGCTGACTATCCAGCAGTGTTTTAAGAGAACAGAATATTTTCTGCCAGCTCTGAAGGTTCAGGACTGCAGCAAAACTTGTATCAGATTCACTAATGCACTTTCAGAAAGGAAACCTGCCACTTTTTACCTGGCCTTGCCTACGATGGGCTCCAGTTCAAAACCAAAGCAGTTGCTCTCTTAATGGTGAAGTAAGTTGCTCAGTTGACAGTGGTTCAATGCAGTGGTTCAGCACTACTATTTAAGAGCAACAGAAGATGGGGGGAAAAGTGCTGGCCCAAGTCACATTCTGATTGAAAAAGAAAATCAGATTGGACATTCTTCAATTGCAAGATAGTCAAGTGATGGAATGTTGCAAGTGATGAAGGTATCACTAATTAACCCCGAACATTTCTTCTCGCACCATTCACATACATATTTTTTCTCCTATGAATGACTGTGTAATAATTTAGTGTAGGAATCTTGAAACAGAATCTTTCACAAGATTCTTTAAGTTTTCCTTGACCTGGTTGTACTTCAAAACCTTAGTCCAAATCATCATTCTTTTATGTAGGGAACACAACATTGGCAGGGTACTTGACCAAAGTAGACAACGTATAAAGAGTGCAATCCTTTCCTTGCTTCACACCCACTGCCTTGGAGTCTTAAGGTTATGGATTTAAGTTGCATTCCAGAGACCCAAGTGGAAATATCATCCAGTGGAGATGTCAATACTGTATCGTGTAAGACATTTGAAAGGTTTTCTTCCCTTTACTTGTTGAAGACTAAAGATCCCACACCATCGTTTAAAGAAGTTCATTGATATTCTTATTTTGTCCAAACAGATTAACTGGTTACTTACCTCACTGCTGTTTGTGGCAAATTAGCTGTTGTGTTAGGCTACAAAATTGATTATAATGGCTGTACAACTCTGTAATATCCTGAGAACGTGAAAATGGCTTGAGAAATACAAAGTCTTTCTTACATTATGGTAACATTGAGCAGGAATAAGTTGCTGAGCACCTCAAACTTCTTGGATAGGCACTTAATGAGATGATGGTAAATCTGGATTAAAATTTCATTTTCTTTATCTACGAAAATGTGTCAGTTTACGACACAAAAACGTCAATTCACGCAAAATCCACAGGCTTTCAAGGGAGAAACACCAGCATTGAGAGAGAAAAAATGCTTCCTGATTTCACTCCTGAATCATGCTTACGTTATACCCTCTTGATCCCATCAGAGGAAATAGCTTCTCTTACTTACAGAGCATGCAGTTTTAAATATCTTGATTACATCATGTTTTATCCTAACAACTTCAGGGAATAACAAGAGGTAAGCTTATAAAAACTGCTCTAATAATGATGAATAAATCCTAACCTAGGGCAAACATATCTGACCTGAGATTTGGTTCTGCAAACTGAATAACCATTTTGAATAAATGAATGGGGTCTGGTCAGATGGGTCCAATCATAACTTCTCAGCCATCTTTAACAAAAACCTTATAAATTAGTATTGGGTTGCCTGGTTACAATTGGGCAAAAGCTGAAACTTATTTTACATGCTTATACTATTGGAGGTCACTGGGCAGCATGATTCATCTGCAGTGGACAGCAACTAGAAGATACAGTTCTTGGTTTACTTTGCTGCCTATGGGGATTAGGCTAATTGTAATACAACCAGGATATACTCACATGATGGGACCAGGATGGGACAATTTTTAGATCCTCACACGGAATATTCATTTGGAACTTTTTAGAAAAATAAAACAGATGCCAATTCAGTCAAGGGTTTCCACTTCTCACCATCATTATGATCCCAACTACTGGTAATACTGGATAAGTTCGATCGCAGAGTGAAACCTAGCCTAATGGATCATAAAAGTTTTATTTTACAGTTTAGTTACTGTGGTGTTATCATACAAAGGAAAACAAAAACAGCAATACACAAAATAACTTTAAAAAAAAAAACTTTAAATTCAAAAAGAAAGTTTCAACTCTTTCCCCAGGAATATCTTTTACAGACACTCAAAGCACAGTATCACTTCTATCTTTACTCAAATGACACTTGCTGGCCCTTCTCCTGAAGCAGCTTAGGTCTGACGGCTGGAAGACTTCTTTCCAACTCTGATGGCCGAGATACTTCTTGCCAATTCTGAAAACATTGAATGTTCTACAAACTTAAAAAAAACCTGCTCTTCTGCTTGGTTGATTCATTCTTCAGAACTCGAGCTGCTAGTGGCACTTACTGTCCATTTTTCTTTCATTAAAACTCAGCTTTGCAACCATTCAGCAATTAACTGACTTGATCAGCTACATTACGAGCTAAGTCACATACTTTCCAGGAAACACAACCTCTGATTTGCTGCTCAAAATGATTTTCTGACTTTTAAAAAAGAACAATAAATTACAAACCCCCATCACACCATTACTTACTTCTAAGCTGACAGTCTAAGAGGCCAGCTTATACTGTGCACAGCATTGCTCGGATTTTAATTTTGAGCTTGCAATGCCTTCTAATTCCACCAACTGCATTTCCCAGTCCCTCATCCATTTGTAAACTGGGGCTACACAATGCGATCATCCTTCCTTCTTCAGTAACCCCTCACCATGATCAACTGGCCAAGATCAACAATTTAACAGAAGGGTTTCAGGGAACTACGTGGTTGCTTTCAAAAGCCAAATGCAGACTAAGAGCACAGTGCATTGGTGGCTCAATGAATTATTGCCACCACTGGAGACCCTGGCACTGGGCAACAAGGTACATTTTTACATAACTTCCAATTTAATTACATATTATATTCAGTTTCCAAATAATCTCAACACCACCATGGTACCAGCTGCTAAAGCGGGCCATAATGCATATATTACAAATAGGTTAAGAAACCTTCCATAAGACATTAGACTCATTTGCCTTGTCAGATGGATGTAATCATGAAATCATAGAATTTGTATCCCATGACACTAAATGCACAGCAAGGGCATCCTCACCAGTACCAGGATGTTCTAATGAAGTGACACCAGATTCAAAATGTTAACTCTACTTCCTTCTGACAGATGCTGCCAGACCTGCCGAGTTCCTCCAGCAATTTTTGCTGTCATAGAGATGTACAGCACATAAACAGACCCTTAGGTCCAACCCGCCCATGCTGACCAGATATCCTAAATTAATCGAGTCCCATTTGCCAGCATTTAGCCCATATCCCACTAAACCCTACTTATTCATGTACCGGTCCAGATGCCTTTTAAATGTAACTGTACCAGCCTCCACCATCTTCCCTGGCAGTTCATTCCATACACACATCACCCTGTGTGAAAATGTTGCCCCTTAAGTCCCTTTTAAATCTTTTCCCTCTCATCTTACACCTATGCCCTCTAGTTGTGGACTCCCCTACGCTGGGGAAAAGACCTTGGCTATTCACCCAATCTATGCCCCTCATGATTTTATCAACCTCTGAATGATCATCCTTCAGCTTCTGATGCTCCAGGGAAAATAACCCCAGCCTCTCCCTCCAGCTCAAACCCTCCAACCCTGGCAACATCCTTGTAAATCTTTTCTGAACCCTTTCTAGTTTTACAACATCTTTTCTACAGCAGCGAGACCTAGGTGAGTGAGTGGATGGGTAAGTGAATGTGCATCCCCAGCTCTTTGTTTTATTCTAGACTTGTGAAGAGTGGATGAAGACTCTCTGTTGGTTGGAGTCATACCTTGCGCAAGGAATAAGGTGGAGGTTGTTGGGAGGTCACACCACACAGTTTCAGGACACCTGCACATGTGTTCCTCAGAGTGGTATTCTAGGCCCAACCATCTTTAGTTGTTTCATCAATGACCCTCTCTGCATGGTATGGTCACAAATCGGGGATATTTGCTGATGACTTCACGATGTTCAACACTATCAGTCACTACGTCAGTGTTCGTGGAGTTACTGTCCAAATACAGCAAGACCCAGAAAATATCCAGGCTAGGGCTGAAACGTGGCCAGTAATATTTGCATTGTATAGGCGCCAGGTGATGACAATTGCCAATAAGACAGAAAGTGAACCACTGCCCCTTGATGTTCAATGATATTATCATCCTCCACTTTCAATTGGCCAGAAACTGCAACAAGATAAATATTGTTGCTACAAAAATAGGACAGAGGATAGGACTCTTGCAGCAAAATAACTTGTCTGCTGACTCTGCAAAGCCTGGTCAACAGAATAAGTCAGGAGTGATGGAATACTCTCCATTTGCTAGGATACATTCAGGGGCAACAACACACAAGCTTGACACATTCAGGTCAGAGCAGCTGCTTGGATTATTTATGGATATGGTACCATTCAGTTACTCCATCACCAACACTCAGTAGGAGTGTGCACCATGTACAAGAGGTACTGCTATAATTCACTAACGGTCCTTTATCTGCACCCTCTAAACCCACAGACACTTCCATCGAGAAGGATAAAGGGGAGACATATGGGAACATCACCATTTGCAAGTTCCCCTCCAAGCCACACACTAAACTGACTGGGAAATATATTCTGCGTTCCTTCAACGTTGCTGGGTCAAAATCCCAGAACCTAACAGTATTGTGGGTGTGCCTACACGAAATGGACTGCAGCAGTTCAAGAAGGCAGCTCACTACTACTTCCTTAAGGGCAACTAGGTGAGGAAATCAATAGTTGCCCTGCCAGCCATGTCCAATCCATGAATAAACATTTTTTGAAAATATTTTTTCCCACTTATTTTTGAGTTACATACCAATTATTTGCAACTGCACCCCAGGAGGACTTGATAAGAGTTACAAAATCACATACGATTGGACTCTCCAGACCACAGCGGGGTAAGAAACCAGGGTCTACTCCCCAGGGTTGAATGCAACGGCACTATACTAGGGAACC